GGTGAGCAGTTAGGAGCCAGTGGTCCCAGATTCCGAGAGGAATGTCCAACTGCCAGGTTAGGCCTATTCGTACATCTCCCAAAGGGTCCCCGATTAGAGAGGGTACAGGCTGGGCTGAGGGAACTCCCGCCCCCTGTGCATGCATTTTATGCACCGGGCCACTAGTATATAATATATATTTTCTCATACATACCTATAATTCATAGCTTCTTTTTGGCATATTCGAATTGCCAGGATCCCTAACTACCCTTTGCTTTGGGGCCATTATTAAGTAAAATAAGGGTTATTTGAATACAAGCACTGCGATGCCCCCCAGTTGACCTTATAACCAAGTCGGCTGCTAAATGACTTAACATGCAGGAGCTTATACAGTATGAATACAGTAGGCAAAGGGATTCATGTCTCAGGTGGGACAGTGTGAAGTCCCATCATGCTATTAAGGATGGTCTGCAATTTAAAATTTAAGAATTGTTTATTTCTGGAATTTTTCGTTTAATATTTTTGGACCACAGTTGACTTTGGGTAACTGAAACTGTTGAAAGTGAAACCATGCAGAAAGGGAGACTGTTGTAGTTACAGACAGTAAGAACTAAGTAAAAGCAGACGAGCCTTTTTTTATCAGCGAGTGATAAAGTTTCCCAGAAGTATCTTCTCCCACTCACATCAGACATTCATATATATATCTAGTATACTCTGGTTTCTCTTCAGGGCTCAGTTGTTTATATTTAAAATTGTGATCATTGGTGTATTGTTTTACTAGTTAGGCTCTCTAATTTTTCATGTAATGATCTTACATCAATATAGTCTCATGGCTCTTCATTTTAACATGTTGATTAATATTCACCTTTTTTTTTTTTTAAAGTAAGCTTTTATTATTTTATTTTTCAGACTGTGTAAATCTTTCACCTTATATTTCATTTGTTACATAGCTATGTGTGGACACACACAACCCAAAACAGCAAGCATTTGGCTTTCCAGATTCTATAGTGGGAAGTTACAAGGTGGAAGGGGGTTGGGAATATATATTTTGAATAGCTAGTACACAGAATCTGCCACAATGATTAAGTAAGAGTTATGGTAAATTTACTTAGAGATCTATAATAAACCCAAGGAAAATGATGGTCATAAAAACAGTAATAACACAAAAACTGCATAACAAAATGTAAACTATAAAATTCTATACCATAATTCTATCTATGTAGAGAAATGGATTGAAAGGAAAATTAGAAGGAAAGAATTCAAAGGATAAAAATAGAAGCAAAAGTAGAGCGTATCTAAAAATCTTTGCACATTACTTTTTTGGGTGATGTGGAGGAAGGTGCTGGTGTTTTCATACCAGGTTATAGGGTATGTGTGTAGCATTGTCAGGCCCCTTTTGCCAAAAATAAATTTTACATTGCTGCCAGCCATATAAAGATATATCTGTAGTTCATCTGTCTGTGAACATTGTTTTATCTTTTTAACAGGTATGGTATGCATGATGCATCAGAGCTGCCTTTTTAAGAACTTGAAAAAAATATTTCAACTTACAGGAAAGTTCCAAGAAGAGTATTAAAAAAATCTTTGCCCAACTTCAATTGTTAATATTTATTTTATTTTCAGAGAGTAGAAGGGAGGAAGAAAGAGAGAGAGAGAGAAATATTGATGTGAGAAAGAAACATTGATCAGTTGCCTCCGGCACACACCCCGACTGGGGATCAAACCCACAGCCTGGCTGTGTGCCCTGGCTGGAATCAAACCCTCCATCTTTTCGTGTACAAGATGATCCTCCAACCAGCTGGACCACATTGGTCAGGGCTCAGTTGTTTCTGTTTAAAACTGTGATCGTTAGGTATATTTTACTAGTTAGGCTCTCTAGTTTTTCATGTAATGATCTTCCATCAATATAGTTTCATGGCTCTTCATTTTGATATTGTGTTGATTAATATTGGCCTTTTTTAAAAGGTAAGCTTTTATTATATCTCCTGTTTATATTTTCTATTTTGTTTTCCTTTGGGGCACATCTTATAGTTTATTAAATAAAATGTCATGCATTCGAATACTTTTATTGTAGGAATTTATTTAAGGAAAAGGTTGGAGAATGGAATAACCAAAGGGAAGGGGCTGGACATTGGGTGATGATGGCCGCACTCAGACCTGGAGTTTCAGCCTTGTTTGCAGTCACTGGCAGGCAGCTCTTACTGTCAGTGGGTCTGGGGGCTGGGCTGGTGAGCTTGGAATGCTCATGGAATGCAGTTGTGCAATCAGGTGTCTTTAGGACTGCTTCAGTTCCTTATATGGTCTGATTCCTGGTGTCCAGCAAGTCTTTCCTGGCCTTTCTCCTGTGGGGGGAAGCTTACAAATGGACTTGAACGACTGTATTGCTCTGTAGTCCTAACAATATGTACTTTAGAATCATTATATCTGATGTTTTTAAATATATTTTTATTGATTTCAGAGAAGAAGGGAGAGGGAGGAATAGAAACATCAGTGATTAGAGAGGATTATCTCTGATCATTGATCAGCTGCCTTCTCCACACCACCTACTAGGGATTGAGCCCACAACTTGGGCATGTACCCTTGATCAGAATTGAACCCAGGACCCTTCAGTCTGCAGGCCAAATTGATGCTCTAGTGAACCAAACTAGTTAGAACTATGATGCTTTTTAAAAATACACTGTTGGTATTTTATTTGGGCTAGCATAATTTTTAAAGATTTATTTAGGGAGAAATAAAATCCTTGTAGTTCTTTTTAAGAACATGGCTTTGCTTCTCATTTGTTTCAGGCATTTTTTAGTGTACCATTTAAAATATTCTCTCTGCATAGCTCTTAATTTGTTCTAATCATTTTACCATTTTTGTTATTATAAGTGGGGTTATTTTCTTTCATTATATCATCTAACTAGTACTTTTTATAGAAGCACATGGGTTTCAATTGATTATTTTTAAAATTTATCTATTTTTATAATTGTTCACAATTAGTTTTCTTGGATTTTCTAGGTATCCACTCATATCATTTGCAAAATAATAGTAATTTTATTTCCTCTTCTCTATTTTTAAACTTACTTGTTTCTTAACAATGACACCGGCTCCCACCTCCAGAATAAGGTTAAATATTTGTGATGAAAAATGAACATCCTTGTTTTGCTTCCGATTATCAGTCCTTATAAGGTTTCTTCATTATTTATGATGCTGGTATTAAGTTGTATTATTTGTATTTTATCATATTGGCATAGTATTTGTTTCAAAATAAAAGATTTTATCTACAATTTTAATTCTTATATTGACAGAAAAGTTGCAAGGACAATACAAAGAATTATTTTTGTCCTGAACCATGCTAGCCAACCTGATGGCCCATGGCCTTCCACAAAATACTTTAGGGTTTATTTCCTATAAACAAATACTGCTCTGTGTAACCACATATATCGGGTCTAGTAATAATGAATGTCGTTTTTAAACATTCATTTAAATCTTGCTTGGTGTTGACTTGTATTGACATAACCTTCAAACACGTGGTATCTACAGAACGTGTGAAGTGCAATTAACAAGTTTTGCTTGAAAAAGTTTGTGTTTGGTTTGGTTTTTGTTGCAAAACTAGGGCTAAGAAGATGGCGGATGAAGAGCATATTCGGCACTGCATGCTTTACGAGTTCCAATTATGAAGAAAAGCAAGTGAGGCTGCAAAAAACATCTGTAGTGCTCTTGGTCAAGATGCAGTTAGCGCCAGAAAATGCCAGCGTTGGTTTGAGAAATTTCGCGAGGGAAATTTTTTGTTAGATGACAAGAGTGGTCGAGGCCATGTGTCCAATTTTGATCAAGAAGCTCTTCAAGCTCTTTTGGTGCAAAATCCTCCAAGTATCCAACAAGAGCTTGCGACAACTTTAAATTGTTCACAAAAAACAATTTCCAATCAATTGCGTGCACTTGGCAAAGTCCAAAAGTTTGGAAAATGGGTTCCTCATGAGTTGACCGACAACAACCGTAATCAAAGAGTCACAATTTGCAGTTCGCTCCTCTCTCGTCAAAACTGTTTGCCGTTTTTAGAGCAAATTGTTACCGGAGATGAAAAATGGGTGCTGTATGTTAATTTGAAAAGGCGGCCTCAATGGTTGGACAAAAATGAAGCTCCGCAGCCCACGCCAAAACCTGACTTGCATGCGAAAAAAGTGATGTTGTGTGTTTGGTGGAATTTTAAAGGAATTCTTCATTATGAACTTTTACCATCTAACCAAACCATTACAAGTGCAGTGTATAGTGCCCAATTGGAAAGGTTAGCCCAAGCTTTAAGAGAAAAAGAACCCGCGCTGATTAATCGGAAGGGCGTAATTCTTCACCACGATAACGCACGACCGCATACTGCAAGAATCACTGCTGAAAAACTGCGCCAGTTGGAATGGGAAGTTCTCCCTCAACCTGCATATTCTCCTGATATTGCCCCTTCCGATTACCATTTGTTTCGTTCTTTGCAAAACTTTCTTCTTGGAAAAAAATTTAATAATGAAGAATGCCTCAAAAATGCATTGACCAAATTTTTTGCATCAAAATCACAAGAATTTTACAACAGAGGGATTAAAATGCTTCCTGAGCGTTGGGCACAAGTAGTAGAAAACAACGGCAACTATATTGTTGATTAAATTTTGTTGTATTGTTTAAATAAATTCGATTTAAAAGTATTAGAAAACGACATTAATTATTACTAGACCTAATAGCTGTCAAACCCAGAAAACTAACAGTGATATGTTAACTATCTCTAATCCTGAGATCCCATTCATGTTTCGCCAGTTGTCCCAATGACTTCCTTTTATAGCCAAATCTAGTCCAGAACCATACATTAAGCACCCCCCCCTTTTTTTTCATGCAGCCAATGCCTTCCTATATACTTGCATACTTTGTGACAGATATGTAAAGGAAATGTTTTTGTCATCTAACTGTCCTATCTCCCAAAGGTTCTTTCCTCAACTGAGTTTTTATAAAACCTTGTTTGCTCTAAACTGAGTTTTATCTTTCTTTTCCCTACTCAGGCCCAGATTGCATTTCTTCAGGGGGAAAGGAAAGGTCAAGAAAATTTGAAGAAGGATCTTGTGAGGAGGATCAAAATGCTGGAGTATGCTCTCAAACAGGAAAGGTAATTCAGTAAAATGCAAGATAGACTTCTCTTAAAGTTTGGAATAGTTTTCCTGCCATTCCATAAGTCTAAATTTTAATACTTTATGCTTCTGAATTCAGGAAATGTCATCCGTAATAAATATTTATAATGGTTGTAATATGTTAATTCTATTTTGTTAACATTTAATAAAGACCAATAAACTGATTTATATGATTTTAAAAATGTTAGCAACAATTTTCCCATACCCTCTTCTTTCTTAAGAAACATGTACTTATTGAATCTTTAATATCTATTTCTTTATGGAATGAAATAGTTTTTAGTTGTAAAGGAAATTACATAATGCTTATTAACTATTTTCTTATTATCTAATATTACTCAATTTAATGTAGTTCCTTTGAAAAAAAATTGCTCTGGCAGACTATGTTGAGAATCTTTTTCAGACTTTTTTGATATTTTGTGCCTTTTCTATCAGCTATTCATATTTCTCCAAAAGCAAATCTTACCTTTCTAGTTTGCAAGTGTCTGAGATACTCAAATAACACAACTTGGGTCATAATTCAAGGATAATACATCATAGATGAGAGTTTTGGAAATTTTCTTATAAATTAGGTTTATTTGCTTTAATGGACGATGGTCTTTAGATGTGTGTGTGTGTCTGTGTGTGTGTGTGTGTGTGTGTGTGTGTGTGTGTGTGTGTGCGTGCGCGCGCGCACGCGCGTAAGCAGTGTGAAACCATTCTTTGAGTGCCTGATAGATATATTGAAATTCTCTATTTTGCTTAAATTTTAGTGATCACATTCTTTTCTCATTATTTTGAAGTTGTTATATGGGGTGTTTGCAGAACTACCCTAGAATAACATTTAGCAGACAATATTTATGAATATCAAGAAATCAAACTTTATTGAAATTTGTGTTCAGTTTTATATAGCATCTTTAAATGAGATTGACAACAAGTTCACTTTTTAGTGAAAAATAGGCAGTTCTTTGCCTTGAGAAGTTAATTGAAAACTGTATTGAGGAGAAAAAAACACCCAGATTTTTAAAGGTAGTAATTTTGAATATTTGAGACTTTAAACTATAATAAAATGGACACTGTTTATTAACTACTTACTGTATTACAGGTCCTGAGGCTTAAAAACAAAGTGAGTTGCAGTCAGGTAGAGCTGTGCTTCAGATTGCTTAGGTCTGTCTGATTCTGAAACCTGTACTCTGTGCCAGAACATTATAGTATTCGTAAGATGGAAGAATTGAAATACACAGATATTACAGTAACCAAGAATATTGTGTGTGTATGTGTGTGTCCTTTTTCATTAAACATATTAATCTGTGCATCCAGTTTAAGCACTTGTGCTGGACCTGAGTCTAAACATAGGTCATAGTCCTTGTCCTTACTGGCTTACAGTAACTGGAAGCCACGAAGTGCAGTGCAGTCTGATCGTGCTGAGGGAGAAGCCTGTGTGGGATACAGTGGGTCACAAGGAAGGGCGGGGATATTTGTCTGGAAGGTGGAAGTAGAAAGAAAGGTGTCATTAAAAGAGTTGAGGCTTTGCCGAAACCGGTTTGGCTCAGTGGATAGAGCGTCGGCCTGTGGACTGAAAGGTCCCAGGTTCGATTCTGGTCAAGGGCATGTACCTTGGTTGCAGGCACATCCCCAGTAGGGGGTGTGCAAGAGGCAGCTGATTGATGACTCTCTCTCATCGATGTTTTTAACTCTCTATCCCTCTCTCTTCCTCTCTGTAAAAAAACAATAAAATATATATTAAAAAAAAAAAAAAGAATTGAGGCTTGAACATCATAAAAAATAATGTGTTTGCCAGATAGACAAGGTTCAGGAAGTTGAGAGGATATGTTTTATGCAGAATAAAGCAGTTTGGTGTGTTCAGAAATTTATAATTACTGTGTATTGGAAGGAAGGACATTAGTTGTGATTTGATGAGATCATGGAAAGCCTAACTAAGGAATTGAAACTTTTATCTTACATGTAATAGGGAATATTGAAAAATTTCAAAAGCTTTCTAAAATAATCTCAAACTAATAAAAGTTGCAGGACCCATATGCCATTTACCCAGAATTATCAATTTGACCACATTTTTACTATGTTAACTGTCATCATGCACAATATACCATATTTTTTTCCTGAATAATTTCCTACTTACTTGCAGACATTATGTCTCTTTTTCCTATAAATTCCTCCCTATATATTTTCTAAGAGCAAGGACATTCCATTGCATAATTACAGCTTATCAAATTAAGGAAATTTAATGTTGATATAGTTCCATTATCTAACAAAGCCTATATTCATATGTTCCAGTGATCTTCATAACATTTTTTAACCAAATATTCTAATATGATCTTTATAGGGTTTTTTTTTTGTTTGTTTGTTTTTTTGTCTAGAAATACAAATTGCATTTAGTTGTCATGTAATTGAAAGGTTTTAAGCATGGAATAGTGTGAAATAGATTTTAGAATGATCATTCTGACTTCATTTTGGGGAATAGACTGGAAAAATCTGTTAATACAGGCAGGAAGATTATAATAGTCAAGGATGAGACATGATAGCATAGTAGCTGCAGGAATAGAGGAGGCATCAACTGTGAAACATTTTAAATAGAGAGTATCTTACATAATTTGGAAGATGATTTGGTATAGGAGATGAGGAAGAAAGTTAACTTAAGAAAGATTCCTAGGGTTCTGGCTTGAAGTATGAGTTTTGGAACTTATCAAATGAATTAAGGATAACAAGAATTTAAAAAACGATAAGAATTAAGGGTTTAAAGCAAATATGAGAGGGATTCATGACTAGAAATGTACACATCAATATTGTGGGTAAAGTTATAGAAGTAGTTGAGACAAGAAGAACAAATAGTTTGGGAAGAAAAAACCCACAGGAGTCACAGAAATGGAAATGTTTGAACAAAGGCAGAGGAAGAAAAACCAACGAAACAATGGTTGGAGAAGAAGGAGAGAGTAATATATTTCTAGACTCTCGATTCCAATATTACAGGCTATTGTTGTTCCTTGTGATTAAGTCCCTACTGGAAGCAAGAAAAGGACAATTGCAAGTGCCAAACAGACTCCAAGTAAATTGTATACTGAAAATAGTTATTTGGACTTGCCAGTTAAGAGCTTGTTGGTATCCTTGCCAGACAGCTTCAGTGAGGCAGCAGGAACATAAACCAGATCATAGGGGATTGAGGAGTGAGTAGGATAGATAAAGGGCAGACAGATACAGTTGCTTATTTTTCAAGTAGTTTGACTTTGGAGAACAGAGAGAGAAAGACTGGCCTGGTCCAGGGAAGTGGTGGTGGTGTTTTTTTAACGAATGGGATTTTCCTGGAAAAGAGTCCCTGATTTTGTATCTTTTGAAGTTCATGGAATGATCTGAGATTATTCCTGATGTAATGGCACTATTAAAGTGTAAATTTCTTTGTGAAATTAGAGCTCTTAGATATTTTCATGTTCATTGGACTAATTATTTAAAATACAGATATTAAATCCCTGCTTAAAAGTATCTGGCTAATTTCAAAATTCTTCTTAGTAAAATCTTTTACATCCAGGCCCCTTGCTTGTCCTATACATATACATGCACACATGACACGCATTTACACACATACGCACACACACAGCTGTTTTTTTAATACTTATACCCACTTTACAGACACACATACACATTTTGAGGAACTTTGAGTATTGTTTCTTCTGACAGAAATGCCCTCTATATGAGTTCATTTGTCTGGTGGGGAAACTGATGGTATTTTGAACTTTAGCTAAAATCTCATGTGTTACCTCCTATTTGGTAGGTCTCCTTGAAACCATCTTTGTCAGAATTAGCTAATTCCTTATCTGAGTTAATATGACAGTTGATATAATTCTGAGCTCTTACTCACAGTGTGTTATAGTTACTTATTTACATTTCTGCCCCTTAGGCATCTTCTTGCCTCCACCCTTCTAATTGATTACAAGTTGCAGGTTGTTGCCAGCAGCCAATACAGTGCCTGGTGTATTATAAGAATTCAGTACATTTATTGGATATAATGAAATTATTTTTAAGGGAACCCAGCTTGTAAACACAGCATTTCTTTACTTATTTTGTCTTTGTCTAATTTTTTATGAAGTGTTATTTCATAGTGTTTTATTATTTTTTGTTGTATATGTTGCATATAATATTTTCTGTTTCATTTTTGTAGCTCTGTTGCAGTTTTTCCTAAGAATACTAGAATGCACTATTTTGTGTTTGAAAATGTTTTTCTTTATATGCATATAACAAAAATATATAAAATCATTCCATAAAATGTTATTGCTGCTTCTCTATCCTCAGCCAGTTGCTTTCAATTAGTGTTGTGACTTCTGGGAGGTATTTTTATTTTGAGACAATGGCTCTAAATCTTACCCTCTTATAATATTAATATGGAGACATTGAGGTAGACTAGGAAATGTTTAGTAGGGCAAGGAAATCTTTGATTAAGAGAAGCATAGGGAGTAGAGAAAAAATGTTCTAAATTATTTGGGACAAAATATTTACTAAAAAATTTTTAAAAGACATATATACATATGGTTAATTCGCCAAATAACACAAAGTAATTTCCCTTCTGCATCAGTTCACTGATTTCCCTTCCCAAAGGAAATAATTTTAACTGATGTTTTATGTGTCATGTATTCAGAAATATTCAATATATATGAAGTATACATAACATACATATAAACCACATATGTACATAGTATTTTATACTTTGCTTTTTTTACTTAAGCTTAGAGATCAATCCATATTAGAAAACAAATATTTTTTCCTTTTTAATGGATACATATTATTACAAAACATTTTATATCTATGTAGAACATAAAGACTAATATAAAAAAATAATGATATACCCACCACCTACCCTAAGAAATAGAACAACTGTGTATAATTTTTATAGATTTTCTTAAGATTCCCTTCTATATAAAACATTGATTTTTCTTGTGTAACTGCAAAATAATTACTGTAAAATAATATGAAGAATTTCAGTACTTCATATATTTGAGCAAATAATTTTCATTTTCTTTATAATTTACTTTAAAAAATTTATAGTAAGTGCTCAATTAGTTTTTCATAAGGATAAAAACAATTAAAAAAAAGCTTTCAGAGTTGGCTACATTATTTTCTCTCTCTTGTTGTTAATTCTCACCCAAAGATATTTTTCCATTGATTTTTATTTTAGAAAGAGTGTAAGGGAGGAAGACAGAAAGAGAGAGAAACATCCACATGAGAGAGACACATCAATTGGTTACTGCAGCCAGGGAACTTGCTGCCAAGGCATATGATCTTGACCAGAATCTAACTTCTGACCCTTTAGTTCGAGAGCCAATGCTATATATCCATTGAGATAAACTGGTTAGAGCTTGCTATGTTACTCTTTCATTACTTCTTTATTATTTAAATTTTCAAATGGTTGTTATTATCCCAGTCTCATTATATTGAATATTTATTATAAATGGCCTCAATATTTTAGGGAAGCAAACAAATTAAAATATCCAAATAAATTAAGTGTGGCCATTTTTAGTTAATCTTAAAATTTTTTACCTTATTTTTCTGGTCTCAGATGGTTAAATCTGAGATGGTTAAGTCAGACTAACCAGAAATAATAACATTCATATAGCAAGAGAAGACAAGAATTCCTGTTCACAGTTTTTCCTGAGTTCTTCCTGCAAAGAAAGGCAAAGGATACTTTGACTATTAAAAAAATTATTTCTGCTGGAATATCTTATTCAATATTCATGATTTGAGCTGGTTCCCCCTTCATCCTTTGGATTATTCAATTCAATGCATACTTGGCAAATTATAATTGCCTGATAAGATAGTATTATAGATGATTTTTCTTTTTAAAAAACTCAATTTTGAAAAAGGTCTTTTACAAGTTTATTTTACAATCCAAACTTTGCTACTGCTTTTGATGATAAAATATTCTGGCAGTTATCAAGAAAATTTGAATACAACAAAAGCTAGCATGTTAATATGGTTCATTAGTAAGTACAGAAAGATGTATGGTTCCCAGAGTTAGTCCTTTATTTGTTATAATAGCACTTCATGGGCTAACAACAAAACAGTAATGGCAAATGCTTTTGTATTATGACTTTGACATCTTAGAAGATTATGGGCCTTTGAAAGTTACCTAGGACTACTGCAAACTGATGACTCTATTGAATATCTAAAAGTTTACTTAAATATGTTTTAAGATGGTTTGTATTTTCTCATTTCTTTGTTAGAGCCAAATACCACAAGTTGAAATATGGGACAGAATTGAATCAGGGAGATATGAAGCCTCCAAGCTATGATTCTGGTAAGCTAATTTTAAAGGAAGTTAAAGTGATTAAAAAGAAGTTAATATCAAGTATTTGTAGGTACGGTATTTATAATTGCAAATTGATTTCTAGTTATTTGCATGTTAGTAATTTTTTCTGACCTACTTATCTTTTGACACTAATCATGTAGAGTCATTTAGATCATTTTCCACCACCTTCCTTCTTTTATCCCCTTCTCTTTACTTTTAGTTTCCCATTTTCTGCTTATGTTCTACACTTACTGGATCAGAATTTATGGGGAAACATACAACATAACTGATTTTTACTGGGTCTTCCCAATATTAATGGGAATTTTGATATGTGCAGTACAAAGTTCAGAATGCTCTTAAAATTCTAAGAGAAAGAGTAGGAACTATGGAGGTAAAAGATTTCTTCTTTAAGTATGGGTGAATACCTTGTCCAATGAGCCTAATCCCTCAGTTTCAGGTACAAAATTGTTTTAGACTTGGTCATTACAGCGTAATTAGATCATCTTTTAACAGCTGAATCATCCTACCTAATAAAAGAGTAATATGCAAATTAACCAACACTCTGCTCAAGCCACGCCCACCATCCATGTCCATCAAACCATCAGAGTGGGTATGCAAATTAACCCCGACCAAGATGGCTGCAGCCACAGAAAGCAGTTGAGATGCTTGGGTTTCCCTGGCAACAGAAGCCAAGCTTTCTGCCTGCCCTAGCCGGCCTAGGCCTCCACTCAAGGATACAAAGTTTCAATTATAAAAGATAAAGCCCAAGAAAAATGGCGGCAGCCACGGAGCTGGAGAGAGCAGGATAGGGTTGGCTCCGGGAACAGAAGCAGCAAAGCTTTCTACCTGCCCTGACTGGCCTAGGCCTCCACTCAAGGCTACAAAGTTTCAATTGTAGAAGGTAAATAAATTCCAGATACCAGGGCCTCCACTTGGGTCGCCCAGGGGCATGGCCTGCCTGCAAACCACCACAGGCCCCTCACCCAGGCCACCCCACACCCCAAGGGAACCCCCACCCTGATCCGGGACACCCTTCTGGGCAAACCAGCTGGCCTCCACCCATGCATCAGGCCTCTATCCTATCTAATAAAAGAATAATATGCAGATTGACCATCACTCCAACACACAAGATGGCTGCCCCCATGTAGTCAAAGATCCTGCCCTTATGTGGACACAAGATGGCCAGAAGGGAAGGGCAGTTGGAGGTGATCAACCCTGCAGGGGAGGGCAGTTAGGGGTAACCAGGCTGGCAGAGGAGGGAAATTGGGGTTAAACAGGCTGGCAGGGGAGCCGTTAGACATCAATCAGGCTGGAATGGGAGTGGTTAGGAGGTGATCGGGCTGGCAGGCAGAAGCAGTTAGGGGCAATCAGGAAGGCAGGCAGGTGAGCAGTTGGGAGCCAGCAGTGGGATCGGGTCTAAGTGGGCAGTTTAGCATCCCTCGAGGGGTTCCTAGGTTGGAGAAGGTGCTGGCTGTGCTGAGGGAAACCCCCCCTCCCCCCGTGCATGAATTTCGTGCACAAGGCATCTAGTTTTATTCTAATTTTGCATTGTGTCTTCTTTATCCTCCTACCTTCTTCACCCCACCAAACAATACAAAACTATAGTATCTGGAAACAATCAGATATTACTTATTAATAGATGTAAAGGAAAAGAAAGAAAAGTTATTCAAAGTTATTGCCATGTTTTAAGGTGAGTTTGTTGTTGACGTAATTTCAGATTAAATTTCTAGATCAAATATCTGAAGATACCAACTATTTATATCACTTACTGAAATACCTGCCTTGTACTAGGGGCTTTATGTATATTAACTGTAATTCTTAAAATAGTTATTTAATAAAGATAATATTCTCATTTTATTAATTTTTTTTGTTAATCCTTACCTGAGGATATATTTCTTCCTTTTTTTTTTCTCTCTCTCTCTTTTTTTAAATTTATTTTATTGATTTTGTACAGAGAGGAAGGGAGAGAGATAGAGAGTTAGAAACATCGACGAGAGAGAGTCATCGATCAGCTGCCTCTTGCACACACCCCACTGGGGATGTGCCTGCAACCAAGGTACATGACCTTGACCGGAATCGAACCCGGGCCCCTTCAGTCCCCAAGCCGATGCTCTATCCACTGAGCCAAACCGGTCCCGGCCTCTCCCTTTTTTTTAAGAGAGAGTGGAAGGGAAGCAGGAAAGGGGAGTTTGGCTGCCACTTGCATGTAAAGTTTCTGAGATAAGAATACGCCACATTTGAGAAATGAAATAACTGGCTAGTATTTGGAGGGAGAAAGTTAATGTTTATAGATATAACTAGAGAGTTAGCTAGGGGGGAAGAGACAGTAAAATTTGTTACAAGGTCTTGTAAAATATGTTAAAGAGTTTATACTTTATCCTAGGAGTTATGAGAAGGCATTTGAAGAACTTAATTAGGATTCTTGTGATCAAATTTGTTCTTCAGCCTAGAAGATGGGTTAGAGTGTAGCAAAACTGGAATTGGGGAGACTGGTTAGGGGACTGTCACAGCCCTCTGGCTCCATGAGGAAGTTACCCGGACAGGGGTTCTAACAGTGGAGTTTAAGAGAAGTGGGTATATTCAGGAAATATTTAGGACCTAAAATCTGCAGGAATTGGTTCTTGTTTGGATGTAGAGGATGAAAAAATGGGAGAATCAAAGATGACTCCCACACTTCTAGTTAAAAAAACTAGACTATAAGCAGGTTTGGAAGATGGCGGGCTCACTTCTAGGTTTATTTGTTAGGCAATCAAGTGAAGGTGGCTAGTAAACAGGTGTGTAGATTTGGAGCTTAGACCGGTGGTATAGGTTTGATATGCAGATTGAGATGCACCACCATATAGTACTGATGGCACTGAAGACATCTGAGTGCAAGGCTCACCCAGGGACTTTATGCAGAGTGAGAAGAGAATTGGAAATGGAACTCTGAGGAATGGCAACATTAAAGAAAACTGGTAGAAAAATAGAATCCTGAAAAGGAAACTTAGAACAGTTGTCCTAATGTTGGAGGAAAGCCAATGGAAACAAAGAGGAGAGATGGTTTTCAGAAGTAAGGACCCTTCAGCATTACTGATTAATGTCTAAAGAATTGAAGAATCTAGTGACAAACAGATCACTGAGAATTTATTGCAAGTAATTTCAGAAGAGAGGTGAGGACAGAAACATAGACATGAGTGGAAAATGAAGACTAAGTGTGGTCAACTTTCAGGAAGATTGGGTTGAGAAGGTGAGGAAGAGGGATTACAGGGTAATAGATGGCAGGACACGAAGGGTGAAGGAAGTGTTGTGTGAGAGTTGTATTTTGTAGAGGAGGAGCAAATAAAAAGGAGAAATAGAGACATACAAAATAGAAAGGTATCGGAAAACGTGGTAGGGATTGGATTCTGAACATAGGTAGAAAATGACAGGGGGAGCATGTCTTTTATTGTTACCAAGAGCGAATAGAGGAAGTAGGTGATGGGTTTGTAGGTTAGGGTTTCAGTTTGGTGGTGGGTATTTAATATGATAGCTTTATGTTTGAGACAAAATTATCTGGTAAGAAGTGTATGAGAGGTTTACAGATTTATAACAGTAGGGAAGATTTATAACAAATGAACAGAAAAGCAACTAAGAAATGGTAGGATTAAGAAAAGCTAAGGGTTTGGTTGACATGTGTGAACATGAGTTTATATAGAAGCACTTGTCTGTACACTTGCTAAATAGAATGAAAATAGTTAATACTTGAATTCATGGAAAACAAGGGTACAAGAAAATTGAGTACATTGGCAAAAGAATGGTTGAAGTGATAGACTTCGAACTAAAACTCCAGAGAAAAGGAAGTAAAGACAAAAGGAGCCTAAGTGGGTAAGACTAAGGAGATAGATTATGATCTAAAGCAGGCCAGCAGAATTTTTCTGAGGCCAGATAGCAATATTTAGGCTTTGTAGGCCATAAGTTTGCTCTTGCAGCGACTCAACTGTCTCCTTTTATAAGGGCATCAGTCACATTGGATTAGGGCCCACCCTCAAGACTTCATTTTAACTTAAATTCTCTCTTTGATGACCCGCCTTCGAAACAGCACAATCTGAGAGGTACTGGATGTTAGGACTTCCGAGATGACCTTTCTCTCACTTGAGGAGATGGCTGAGAAAAACTCAAATAGGGTTCCAGTGAATATTCTTCCATCTTCACAGTACTCAGTAACACGCACACACTGGGGCCCGTGTGATTAAACATGCATTCAGTTTAACTTTCACACGGGCGTCTCTCTCCAGAAGCGCGCCGGAACCCTGCAAACCTGCTGGCGGTTTCTTGTCAGCAGGCAGTTTCTGCACTTCGTTGGCTTTTCCCTATGTTCGTTCTTTCCTTCGTACAATTTTTTCAGTCTTAATTGATGATTGATTTAGACAAGTAAAAAAGTTTCTTCTCAGCCCTTTGAGAAGTAACTTTGCCCACCTACTTCCACGTTTCACCTGCCCACCAGAAATTTGAGGATTCTGAGATCACGAACAAGTTAATTGTTTAAGATGGGTGGGGAACCTTTTTTCTGCCAAAGGTGATTTGGATATTTATATAACATCGTTCTCAGGTCATACAAAATTATCAACTTAATAATTAGTCTGCTGTATTTGGTCAGACATTTAATTAACTCACCCTGAATGCTTTGGCAGGGCCAGACTAAATGTTTTCACGGCCTTATAAGGCCCACTGGTCAGATGTTTCTCACCCCTGCTTTACACTCTAATCTCCTGGCAACCCTAATCTGTTTTCTCCTTCTGTAGTCCTGCCTTTTCCTGAAAGACAATATGTAGCTTTTTAATTCTAGCTCCTCTCACATGGCATAATGCATTTGAAATTCATATGAGTGTATGTCATCAGTTGGTCCTTTGTTCCTGGTGAGTAGTATTCCATTGAATGGATATACCACATCTTGGTAACATCACTCATTGGCTGCTAGAGTAGGCAAAGGCAGTTGATTATATTTGAGGATGGTATAGAAAGGATTTAGAAAATTAGATGACCTCAGAAGTTCTTTCACATCTGAAATTTTAGTTTTTTGAAATGTTAATGTAAATGGTTTTATATGGTAAGTACAATTTATTCACTTGACTTATTAAGAGGACGTATTGGAACATACTATATTATATCCACAGTTTCTGAATTTGTGGTTTAGTGTCATTTTTCTTTAGTATTGAGACCATTGCTTTTTTTTTTTTTTTTTTTTTTTTTTTAAAGAAAGTATACCCCCTGAAGTTATCACAAAGTAATTTTCCTTTTTTGGTTAACTTAATCTTCCTGACTACACTTTCTACCCTCCGTCTACTGTACTGATATTTGTAGATTGTGTTTCACAGAGCTTTGCTTCATTATTTTAGGAGAAAAATGATAATGTAAGATCTAATTTTTAAAACTTATGTATTTCTCTAATTTCTTATCGATGTAGTGATAGCATATGGAGGAAAATATATGAGCTCTGGAGTTAGATATATTGGGTATAAATTTGGAATGAGATTATTTCCTACCCACTTCTTTAATCAAACTGGCTTTTCTTAAAAGCCATCATTCCTGGGTATTTTTTGTTCCACACTTGACCTGGTGCTTCAGATACTTTTATAGGACTCTTATTGTGTGACTTGATGTGGCTAGGTCTTGATCTTAGAGCGAAATTCTGAGGCTGCCTAAAGATTTGGAAAATGTTTTTATTTCATTTCTACAACTCCGAGGGTAATTCACTAGCAGTAATGAATTCAGAGTTTGTTACGGAAATTTGACTTAAAAACAGAATGTATATGGTCCTGAAACATACCTTACAGTGCAATTTTACATATTCCTTAATCTTATAAATATTTTTGGATATTTTTTATCACTAGAGATACCCTCTAATATATATGACAAGTTGGTTTTATTATTATTTAATGTTTTCTAGATGAAGGTAATGAAACAGAGGTGCAACCACAACAAAATAGCCAGTTAATGTGGAAACAAGGTCGTCAACTACTCAGACAGTAAGTAACTCCTGGTCAAATTAAAGAGAAGCAGCAGATATTTTCAGGAGATTATTTTTGTTTTGTATTTTCAAATCAGTAGAATAATTTTTCTTATTATTATGCTGCTGCTCTGAAAAGCTTAATTGAATTATTTTTTCTTTTTCATATTAAATACTTTTCCCCCTGTAGTGGAATTTATAAATTATTAAGTATTAATAAGAATTATAAGGCATAAATAATTTTATTATTTTAGGTTCATTAAAAAGAGTATAACTTTAAGCTTCTAGATTTTACATACACTTAAATTTATAGTTTAAAGTTTGTATCTTTTATACATGAATATACAAGTTTTAATATAAGTTTAATTAGTATTTATAAATTTGTGATTTTAAGCTTTCTGTTTTTAATTGATTGAAGAATTTTTTTATTTCTCCCTGTTTGCAAATATTGCACTGACATGTACTTTACCCTATGAAAGGGGTAGTTGAGACTATAAGGACGGAGCAGAGCTGGGTTGAGGTTCAGATGTCAGGTGGTGGGCGAAACCCACTCACCAGCTCAGTACTTGGTCCTTGCATATCACATTTGAAATTGGTATTCAGGTTTATGTCTTAGTAAAATGAAATTTGCTGTTTGTTTTGGACTTTTGAGATCGCTTGTGAATATTCTAAATCTATAATTTCCAAAGTGGATGCCTGCCAGCCATTCCTTTTGGTGATGGGAAGGGAATAATAAAATGTCTCCAAATATCTATTTTTTTTTAATCTACTTGAAGTTAAAAGAAAATGAGATTTCACTAGTATTTAAACTATTTTTTAAAAATATTTTTTTTTTGATTTCAGAGAGGAAGGAAGAGGGAGAGAGAAATAGATAGAAACATCAATGTTGAGAGAGAATCATTGATTGGCTGCCTCCTGCACGCCCCATATTGGGTATCAAGCCCACAACCCAAGCATGTATCCTTGATTGGAATTGAACCCGGGACCCTTCAGTCCACAGTCCAATGCTCTGACAACTGAGCCAAAGTGGCTAGGGCTCACTAATATTTAATAGGGATTTTTTCACTAGTGCCTTGACTTTGGTCTTAAATATGATTTATGCATTTTCTTTTTTATAAATATAAACATGTTCTTAATCTGCTGGGGATTTTTATTGGGAAGTTTTATAGTGAGAAATCCAAGAGATATTTGCAAAAGCTTTAGAAGACTCATAATCTGTCTCTTAAAGGAAAGGTGACATTTTATCAGTGAACAAGAAAGTAACTATTTTGTAAAGCTAAATTATGGAAAGTGCAGTTTTCGAAACAGTTATTTGTAATGTGATTTTTTATCAAGTATTATTTGTTAAAAATGGAAAAACATAATACCTTTGTATTAGTTTGTAAGAACAACTGATTAAGTTTAGGGAAGTTAGGAATTATCTAAATTTTAATCAAACCCTTTCTATAAATAGTGAATAGGATTGGAAAATGAGTGTCTTAATTAAATAGGATGCACTTATTCCATTTCCGTCACATATCTTTCTGAGATACCTTTTTGAGTTATAAAAACTATTAATGCCAGGTCTTGAAATAAATTGATCTTAGACTGCTTATCTTGTCCACCTTTGATTTCTTTCTCACTCCATAGACTGATGTTTACTTATAAGTTAGTGCCTAACATTTGTCAGTCACATTCATTAATGGTGCTATTAGTGACATTTGCCAGCCACTACCTCTTTTGGTCTTTTTTTTTTGTCATCTTTTTTTGTTAATAGAAATTGAGTGCCTTCTATATACCAGGCACTTTACTAAGTATATCTCTTTTAAGGGAAAGAAAGCTGAGGTTCAGCAGAATTAGAGTAATAATGAAAATGGCAGAAATGGGCTTTACACCCATTTAGGCTAATACAAAGCCTATTCTCTTTTATTCTGTGCTGCTGCCCCTCTCCCCAATACCCAGGCATCCCACATTCCACAACTGAATTGTGGTCTACATTTTTCATTTTACCCTTGTCCCAGAATAGAAGCATTCCTTCTGTAGAAGTGACTCTTTGGATTATACTTTTTTATTGTATATCATAGAGGAAACTATGTAAGCCAGAAACATTCTCTTTAGATCTTAAACGGTGACACTTTACATCAGAAATGTAAAAAGATTGCTGAATATAACAACTACTATCATAAAATAATTTATCTGAGAGTGAGATTGCTCCAACCCTGCCTAGAAGAAAGAATGTGCTATTAGGTATATTAAGAAACAGTTTTTTTTTTATGATAAATATAATGAATGGAGTATTGTATAGTTGTTTGATTTTTCTTAGTGACGGTAGAGACTGGTACTGCAAGAGACTGCTCCATCTGCAGCTGGAAGATTATTTATTAGCAAGCCGTACTAGCATGGTACTAGTCTGTTAAATCCTATGCAGGCATTGGATTTAAAGAAATACTTTTTTTATGTATTAAGTTATAGAAGGCTGATCCAGTATGGCTGAATTGTAAGGATCATCTTTATACACAGGTATCTCCAGGAGGTGGGTTACACAGACACTATTCTAGACGTGAAGTCTAAACGAGTGCGAGCTTTGTTGGGCTTTTCAAGTGATGTCACGGACAGAGAAGATGACAAAAATCAGGACTCACTCATAAATGGCACAGAAGGTGAAGTTAAAGATACAGCAATGATTGGGTAAGTATTTTGTCTGGAAAGTGTTTTTGCTATAACTTCAGTTTTTATTAAATATATTTGGTTTATGGGTGATATTTATGACACTTGCACTTTTAGACACTACTACAGAAATAATTATAATAAAGTTTAATAAGAATTTAAAATTTATTAGAAGATAACAGTGATTAGAGTTTATGATTTTTTTTTTTTTAGAGTTTATGATATTTTAAGAATGTTTTTTATTTAAGATATTAGCTTGAAATTTCTGGATTTAATACAGATTTTAATATCCTGAAGCTTAGTCACTTACTATTTGAACTTCATAAAAGATCTTATTTTGGAAATTTAGTTAAACATTTTTAAGACGTAAACCTTTAGAAGTAAACCTTATCTTAGCCCCTTTTGTTTATTTAGTTAGGGGCACTGATGGCTTTTCCCTTAGATTGTCAAATGAAAAAATGATAATAGCCAACACAACAATAGCCATGCAGTGTAAATGAATAAAAATTATACCCCCCCCTTTTTTTTTCTGATCAGTAAAATATATATTTTTTTGATGTGCCACAGAATTTTAGTAGTTTATGTGTGCCATGACATGAAAAAGGTTGAAAATCACTGTTTAGCGAGAACATAGTTTCTGTTCTTTGGACCATAAACTAAAATTATGAGATTTAGGTAAAGGTTTAAAAATATGACTTTTGTAAACAGATGTCATTGGAGTCTTCTTAAATGTATTCATTAATAATTAAACTATATTAAGTTGTTTTTATAAATGAGAGATGTAGATAGTTTCTTTGTGTAGACATAGACAATGTCGGCATTCTTGCTTATAGTTTGACCTAAAGGGTTAACTCAAGTCAGTATAAAGGCCTTCAGAAAGGACCGCTCTAGTTGTCTTGTGTTTTGGTCTGACCTATCTTTGGAAGCTGACAAAGATATTATTCTGAATGTCTAATTATGTAGAGGTGAAGAATAAGGTGGAAAAACCTCAAACGTAGCTTCCTGCAGATTTGAAATTTATTATTTGTCTTGAAAATTTTGTCCATAGTTATGGCTATATTTTTTTCTAAAACAATTTTTTAATGAACTAGAGATAAATTCAATTTTTTAATGAACTAGAGATAAATCATTCTTTCTGGTCATTAGGAAATTGTTTACTAGATGTATTTTTAGGGAGCTAAATTAAAATCTTACATATTTGAAATCATTTCCAGAAGTTTAATGCTCACTAATAAGTGAAGTTTTGTAGAAATGTTGATTTGAGTAATATATTGTATTTATTAACTTGATGTGCACATTTGCTTTTTTCAGTTCGTTAGCTGTTCAGAAATAGAAGATTGCATCAGAGAAAAATGACATATTTTCTTGTTATTTTTTAGTTATGGAAACTTATGTGTAATAGTAAGAGTAGCATAGAGGAAAAGAATAAAGTTTGGCAGAGAGAAAAAATATTTTTAAGAAGAAATACATAAAAGTTAACTTAGGATCAAAATACATCTGAATCAGGAGGGGTTCTTTACATTAGATTACCATTAATCTAAATAGATAGGGTTGCAAAGTAAAAAGTAATTACTTTCTATATTGCTTCCTATATTATAATTATATGGATAAGAATCAATGTCATTCATAATGTTATTTGAGGAAATATGATTACAGTATAAACAGAAGATAGTGCATCATATTACAGATTAATTCTTATGTTGAGTTTAAAACATGAACTGAGCAAAGTGTACATGTGTTAAACCAGGAAATCGGAGTTAACAGATTCTGCCTCTGTACTGGATAATTTCAAATTCCCTGAAAGTGCAGCTGCAGATTTCAGTGATGAAGACGACGATGACGACATTGATGGACGAGAGAAAACCGTCATTGATACTTCAACAGTGAGTTGGATAACTCAGATATAATTATTTTTAGGGAATCGTATGTGTACTGTAAAAATAACACATATCTTTCAACCTAAACCTTATCTTTATTTTTTTTTAAATGAATTTGAAGAAGTATACAACTTTTTAGTATTTATTGCATAATCAGGAATACTTTTAGTATAGCAACTTTCTATTAAGGGCCTCATTTTTTGACTTTTGTTAGTTCATTAAACATTTCAACATTTCTATAGAGCTGGTGAATGCGGTAAACATTGTGTGTTGTAACAATGCAGTGTTATTCGCTGCTATAAGACAATAGAACTGACAGACCCATTATAGTCCCTAATGGCGACTGGCATCAACTCTAATTGATGCTGTTTTCTTGTCAGGACTGCTTTGGCAGACAAGTTCTACAGACTTCAGAACTCTTCCATTAGGCTTCTTCAAGCTTGTTTAGGATTTTTCTGTAATTTTGCTTACATCTTTATAAGTTTATTGACTCTCCCTTGGTAGTTTCTTACACCAAGAGATGTCTCTAAATTGCGTTTTCTCCCTTCTCTTCCCTTCTCTATTCTATCCCCTCCTACCCTCTTCTCCCCCTGCTCTCTTTTCTTTCTCCCTACTTTTTCCCTTTCCAACTCCCTTCTTTCTCTTCTTCTTTCTGCCTCCTTTTCTTTTTCCTATTTTTTTAACAGTAAGAAATAAGGCATGCTTTGCTTTGACTAGGGAAATAATCACATTTCCTCTTCCACTTTTATTTAAGAAGAGGAATGTAAGGTAATAGAAAGCAGACTGAACCTGAAGTCAGAAGCCTTGAGTTTAAGTCCCAGTTCTGTTACTAATTATCTGTGCTTATTAATCCTTTAGGCTTAACTGTTTAGTTTGTAAAATGAGGATTATAATCTTATCCCCAGAGGATTTTGTGAAGAATGTGAGACACTTTATATGAAAATGATATATTTGACTATAAGTATTTTCTAAGTGTTACTTCTTTGTTCTTTATGTCCTCTGCTTCCATCAGAGACTGTCAAATTATTATTTCCAGATTATTGTTTATCTGGGCAGGAATAGGTGAAACCTTAGATATAAGGAAGAAAAGTAATACATGCTTATTACAATAAACTCCATTCATTCCCATTTACTAATCTACTCTCCATTGGTAACCACAGTTCACTTTTTTCCTACGTGTCGCCATTAAAAATACAGGAGTTTTTTTTAAAAAAAATATATATTCTATTGATTTTTTATAGAGAGAAAGGGAAAGAGATAAATAGAAACATCAATGAGAGAGAAACATCGATCAGCTGCCTCCTGCACACCCCCTACTGGGGATGTGCCCGCAACCAAGGTACATGCCCTTGACCGGAATCGAACCTGGGACCTTTCAGTCTGCAGGCAACGCACTATCCACTGAGCCAAACCGGTTTCGGCAAAAATACAGGAATTTTTGTTTATTTATTTAAATGGGATACTTGATAGACCGTGGGTTTTCATCTTGCCATTTATTTCCCTTCTTTATTAGGTTATAGAGAGGAGATGAGACTTAGAAACAGTTTTTCCCCCCCCAAAGAGTTAGTCTAGTGACTTAATACAATACTTAGTTATAACTAATGTTGAAAATACATTCAGACTCTGAATTTACAATTCCAGATATTTTTATAGCATTTCTTGATTTTAGGTTAATATTATAGTATGTCTTGATTTTTTTTTTTTTATTAAATTAATCTGTGTACATATTTTAACATTGCCTCCCCTTCCCATACATACCCTTCCTCCCCAGAGTTTTGTGTCCATTCGTTGTACTTATATGCATGTATACAAGTCCTTCGGTTGATCTCTTATCTCCCCCAGATCTCCCTACTCTCCCCACTGTATATGTCTTGATTTTAGGGAAATATTCTAAATAGTTAAACCAATTATTCTAGCATCATTTAAGAATCCACGATTTCTCCTATTCTGTTTTTCTATACACCAGGAAAGGCAGAGTAGGTTTCATCCACTTTGCCAGCTTCTATTTATAGTAGCTTCCTGGAGTGTGCATTGAGAAGGATTCCTGAGGATGTATCTGGTTTTAGATTAAAAATGCTGTGATTGACAAGTGGTATCAGTCATGTGCATAGCACAGGTCCATCCAAGTCAGGTAATTGTTATCTCTTAGAGTCTACTTCTAGAGTCACTAGTCTGTCCCATTGATCTGTATGTTTTACCATTACACGTTTAAACTACTGAAAACAGTCCATCGATAAAGTTTGGTCAGATCATGCTATTTCTGTTTTGCATGGAGTGAAGAAGCTGAGATACTGAGTCCATGTTTTCAAAAGAAGCTGAAAACCTGTTGTCCTAATTTGTTTAAACGGGCTTCTGGTTGTGGAGGTGACCAAAAAAGAGATAATTCATAAAAAGTATTGACATATAGATCTAACAGATCATCTTTGGCCCAGCTCGTGTGGTTCAGTGGCTGAGTGTTGACCTCTGAATCAGGAGGTCATGGTTTGATTTCCAGTCAGGGCACAGCCCAGGTATATCCCCAGTAGGGGGCATGCAGGAGGCAGCTGATCAATGTTTCTCTCTCATTGATGTTTCTAAACTCTCTATCCCTCTCTCTGTAAAAAATCAATAAAATATATTAATAAATAAATAGAAAATCATCTCTGCATGCATTAGGCTAAGTTTTGATCTTCCAACTGGATTTGTGATTCCAGAGATTCCTAAATATATATAAAAAATGAGATATTACAGCCCTTACTAGATTTGCTATTAAATCTTAGTCAAGTCTCACTCTGAATCATCCATATTTTAGGAAAAACTTGAGTATATAGAGAATTATTGGAGAAAATTGATGCAAGTTTGAGACAGTAGAAATAATAATGGGAATTCCTTCCCTACTCCTCCACCCCCCTGCCACAAACAGAATAGCTTCTAAGGCATGTGTTACTGAGTTTGTAGTTTTTATGATTATAAGTTTTATAAGGGAATGATGCATTATAGTTAAAATTGATCATGGTTATATTCTGGAAGCTCTTGCAATGTTTTATAAAGGTTTTTTTTTGGGGGACAAACTGTATCCAAGAAATAAGATTTGGTTGTGTTTCTTTTAATACAGTACGTATTTTATCTATCTAATTTAAATAGGTATCTTATGGTCTAGTGTTTTTAATATATGATTCCATTAGTTTATTTACAACAATAAATCATTGAACAAAATTTAAATTACTACTTTAAAATGTATAACATTATAATGTATACACTTTTTAAAGAGACATCTGTTTTCCACTGTTGAATGGGTATTACAAAGATACACTTTCTACAGAAAACAATAATTGGGTTTTGTCAGTCAATGGTAAAGAGGTACCTTCTCCCTTATTTAAATTACTTCCATAATATATTTTAATTTGGCATGTTTTCTCAATAGATTGTTAGGAAAAAAGCATTGCCTGAGAGCAGTGACGATCGAGATACAGAAGAAGCTCTAAAGCAGTTCGACTTCTTAGTTACATCAGAGGAAGGCGACAGTGAATCTAGAAGTGCTGGTGACGGAACAGATTGGGGTAAGGAAGGATACTGGGTCCAACCAGAGACATTATGTAAAGAAAATAAATGAATATTTTTTTCCAGGAGGGCAACATCTTAAGGAACACTTTAAATCTCTCATAATGTTGAAATGTTGAGCCAGTGAACTTTTTTATTACTGTCACCTTTTGTCTAGTGTGTGTGTGTGTGTGTGTGTGTGTGTGTGTTGTATGTGTTAAAGAAGATTGTATAAGATTGCAGTATGAAAATAATTTGAATTCACATACTTTCAGAATGCTTTTTCTGCCTAGTCAGTAGAACTTGCATATCTAGATTTTGTGGAAATTGAATATGACAATATATTAGAGCAGTGATTTTCAACAGGTATGCTGTAAGGATTTTTAAAACATAAAATGCCTAACTATTTAGTCAGGGGCACTGATCTAAATGATACCAGCCAACACAGCAAAAGCCGTCAGTGTGAATGAATAAAAATTATGCCTATTTTTTTTGTCATATTGGCAAAAAATACATATTTTGGTGTGCTGCAGTATGTTAGTAATTAGTTTGTGGATGTCTTGAGATGAAAAAGGTTGGACATTGCTGCGTTAGAGGATTTAGATGCTCATCTCTGGCATCTTCGGTACAAAAAGCAGTAAAGTTTAAAAATTGTACTTTACCATTCCAGTCAGGTTTTGTCAGTTTGCAAGGCATCAGATTTTGTGTGTGAATTGTTCTAAGCGTGTTTAATATATATATATTTTTTATATTTTATTGATTTTTTACAGAGAGGAAGGGAGAGGGACAGATAGTTAGAAACATCGATGAGAGAGAATCATCGATCAGCTGCCTTTTGCACACCCCCCACCGGGGATGTGCCCACAACCAAGGTACATGCCCTTGACTGGAATCGAACCCAGGACCCTTTGATCCACAGGCCAATGCTCTATCCACTGAGCCAAACCGGCTTCGGCGTGTTTAATATTTTAAACGTCTAACAGGAGTTAATAAAACAAGTATTTTGGAATGATAGAAAATTTTCTCGAGGTTAAAGAATTTTAGAACACCCTTAGTTTATAGTCTTTGTACTTTAAAGACTGATAAAGGTTAGAGAATGAGTAACTATCCTAATATTTTCTTGTCCCTTTTCCTTCAGGGATCTCATAATGTTAATACCACTTCTTTTTCATGACAAATATTTGAAGAATTATTTGGGATAATCACTTGAAATCATAATATGGTGAATATAATGGCTATTTTAGTGATTGACCTTTTCCCCTCCCCAGAATAAAGTTTGGAAATCAGAGGAAGTTAAAGTGAAATTAGTCCCTCTTCTGTCTTATTCCATAACTTAAAGGCCGGTGCACAAAGATCTGTGCACTCAGGGGGTCCCTCAGCCCAGCCTGTACCCTCTCACAGTCTGGGGCCCATCAGGGAGAGCGGGCCTGAGCCGACAGTCAGACCTCCCTCTCGCAGTCCGGGAGCCCGTGCTCCTTACTGCTCAGCTCACTGCTCTTTAGCGCTGCCTTGGAGGCAAGAGAGGCTCCTGTCACTGCCACTGTGCTCAGCTGTCTTCCGGCTGCTCAGTGCTCCCCCTATGGGAGTGCACTGACCACCAGGGGGCAGCTCCTGCATTGAGCATCTGCTTCCTGGTGGTCAGTGCTCATCATAACGACTGGTCGTTCCACCATTTGGTAGATTTGCATATTTGCCTTTTATTGTATAGGATGAGCTTATATATCAAGTTATTCAAATATTTCAGGCAACAATTCTATCAATATAGCTAGATCCACTGTGCTACACGAAGGTCTTTCTTTAAGGAGTCATACATCTTTTTTTAAATTTATTTTATTTTATTTTTTATTTTATTTTATTTTATTGATTTTGTACAGAGAGGAAGGGAGAGAGATAGAGAGTCAGAAACATTGATGAGAGAGAGTCATCGATCAGCTGCCTCTTGCACACCCCCTACTGGGGATATGCCCACAACCAAGGTACATGCCCCCGACCGGAATCGAACCCGGGACCCTTCAGTCCCCAAGCCGACGCTCTATCCATTGAGCCAAACCGGTCCTGGCAAGGAGTCATACATCTGAATAATAATAGTTGGCCCTTTTCACTGCCATTCTTATTGCAGTGGTGATCGGGATTTATTTTCCTCCAAATATAGTTGCGCTGTCCCATATGTAACTTCTTAGCTTTAAGGCGTGAGTCATGGTCTCACATATTATATGATGACCATGTGTACATTTTAACCTAGCCTGCTATGAATTCAAAGCATTCCACTTTTAAGCAATTATCAGAACTAGATGGCAAATCCTGTGTAGTTGAATGGACATTTAAATCATTTTAAGTGCGTCCTTTATCCCTCCTCTCACCCCTATAAAGGTGAATATGCTTAGGTTTAAGAATCTTGTTAGTTTCTGCCACGTAAATTTTTGCCTCACAACTTCTAAGACCTTTCATTGTTATTGTTGTTATAACTATAGTTAAGATTATAATAAGGATAATATTTTTATTTTTAAAAAATTAAGACTAATTTAAAATCACACAATTGAAGGCATTTTAGGATCCAGAAGCCACCCATTTTAATTAATGATTAAGACCTGGTTGATGAAAATTAACATTTTTTATTGTGAGCTCTTTCTGGAAAAAGAGACTTTCTACTATTGATAGATTATAGTTATGTTTATAAGAAATTTGAGTTTGTTTTTAGTATATCCACTGGCCTAATAACCATATTTTAAAAACTGTGGATTGGAACTTGTTAAGTATAGACAGATTACTGTTTATTCTGGTTTCTTTTGTTTAGTCCAATCATTAAACAGATATTGATCAAATGCCTTTTGTGTGGCAAGTGTTCTAAATGAGGATCTCTATTTCTATTGTCCCTGCAGTCTAGTATGAGGATATAAGCACTAAGCACAGTGCATGAATAGTATGTCAGAAGATGATAAATGCAATGGAAAATAGAAATGTAGCACAGAATAAGGCAGATAGAGAGTAGTGGGTGTGGGGTCATTACAATTTAAAATAAGGTGTACATGATAAGCACCATGAGAGGATAACATTTGAGCAAAAGATTTTAAGTTGATGAGGGGAGATAGGCATATGGATCTGGGGAAAGTGTTCGGGGGAAAGAAAGCCAGAGCACACGCCCTAACATACAGCAGCCGTAGTATGCTTGAAGAATTCAAGAAAGCTAGAGTTTCTGGAGCAGAGTTTTTCTAAGGGAAATATAGTAAGAACTGACCAAATCACTTAGGGTTTTGAACATAAGGATGGCAGGATCTGACTTTTATGTTAAAGCATTACTCTGGATTCTAAAGAACCCAGGGCAACCAGTTTTGATAATAGTCTTGGTGGGGAGAGAGGACAACTATTGCCGTAATTCTAGCAAGGGAGTGGTTAGGGAAGTAGTATAGATTTGAATAGTAGTCAGATTCTAGATGTGCTTGAAGGTAGGAAAAAAACTGTATTTCCTGAAATAGTTGATGTTGGATTAAAGAAAGAGAGGATTTTTGTCTGAGCAAATGGAATTGTCATCAAATTAAATGGGGAATCCTGTGGATAGAACAGATTGCATGGGGAAAGATTGGGAATTTGATTTTGTATTGTTAGTTTGATATACTATTTAGACTTCCAAATGGAAATGTAGAATGAGCAGTTGGATCTATGAGTCTTGAGTTAAAGCAAGAGTTCTGAGCTAACACATGACATTATATAGTATATAAATTTTTTTATAGTAAGTATAATATATGTAACATTTATTCTCTAAATTTTCTTCTCCTGAAATAGTGAAAGTTAGTAATTGTAATTTCTTTCTTACTAGAAGCTTTGTTTCCTGTTTAAGGAGATTATTAGATTGATTAAATTGTTTTAAATTTTAGATGTAGGTTGATTAAGTTTTCAAGTATTTCTTATAAGTCCTATAAAATAAAAATGGTCATTTGTTGATGAACACATGCCAAAAACAAAATTTTTCAAATGAAAAGATCATTGAAGTCTATTTGTATAATCTCTTTTTTATTACATTTGTATAATCTCTTAATCTCCCATTATGTAAATTAATAAAAAATTTTGTGATTCAATCATAATCTAATTCAGGAAATGATGGGTTCTTGATTATAGTGTTTTGGGGCCTAATTTACTAAAAGTCACTCACATCTTCCAGGTGTGTGTGCTTTCTTTTCTATGTCTCTTTCAAGAGAAATTTAATAATATTACCTAGGAAATTGAATTGGTCACCATTTCTTAGATACTGTATTTTGTGTGACATATTGCTAATGTTTTTTTTTTTTTTAAATTGATACTAAGGAGAAAATAGTTATGTCATTCATAACTATTTACTTACAGTGTTTAATATTTCATTGAAAAAGGCTGTTTCATTTGTTTCACTTTGTTTAGAAAAGGAAGACCAGTGTCTCATGCCTGAAGCTTGGAATGTGGACCAGGGAGTAATTACCAAACTCAAGGAACAATACAAAAAGGAGAGAAAGGGGAAAAAGGGGGTGAAGAGTAAGTGGAAAACATTGTATCTGTAAATCATAAATCTTGCCTCTTTCATATCCCCCAATTTTTTTTTCAATGTTTTCCTAATACTACTTACTCTTTTTCTTTTCTACTCCTGACCTCTTTCCTTTTCACCTGCTCTCGGGGGTTGAAATTAAATGGTTAGCTATTTAATTATGAACTTCTACAAGAAGAAAGAAAAACTATACATATCATTGTGGAATCATAATATATTCCAATAATAAATCCAGAGCCTTATGAGAATGTGGGACTATATATTCAAACATAGTGATAATTTGTTTTTTAAAACATTTGTATTTAATTATAATCATGATTTTTCACTGTTGACAATTTTAAATCTCATCTAGTTTGACCCTCTGGCAATCCACCAAAATTATTGCTTATAATTTTAGAATTTAGAGACAGAGCAAGTTAATTTCTACCCCTGAATATTCTATATGTTCATTACACACAGTTCATTTGCTTTCACCATTATATGCTATACAGGGCACAAATACACAATTTCTAAAAGTATTTATTAATTTAAAACTTATGGCCAATTCCATTTATAACATTATCAATTAGCTTTTTTCTTTTCAATAAAATGTGTGCCACACGAAAAAGAGAAGCTAAAATTAAATTTCTAGCCCTGTGAATCATATATATAATTCACTATGCAAACTATTAAAGTTTAGCAATAGCTTTAGTTAAGCCTGTAAAGTGGAAATATAATAGCTTTCAAACATCCCTACAAACATTAAACATCTTTTTAGGAGAACAAGGTGAAACTACCTCCTTGTGCTTCCTCTTATTGACAGTATGAATGTGGGTCTCTCTTTTTGGCAATAGGAATTTTATCCTTTGGGATATCAAAGTAACATAAAGTGAGATTAAAATCCAGTTTAGTAAAACTGTATTTGAAAGTTGTAGAAGACTGAAAGGATACTATTTTTTCTTTTTGTAATGATGCTAAAGCTTATTAAAGACCAGTCACTTCTGTGAAGACATTCTTTTACAACCCAGTAGTTATTGGAAAACATTTAAGTGTTTATTTAAAATATTTTAGAATTTACAAGTAAGCTTGAAGGGATAAAAGTCAGTGACCATTATTGATATTATCATTGTGCCAACCATTACATAACTGAGAGATGATGTCATTTGATGTCTTCTCAATCTAAATTAAATCAATATAAATATTAAAACAAGAATATTTGTATTTATCCAAATAGATTGATAACCAACCCCTTTAAACTGAAATTTCAAGGAAAATTTGTATGTCATATATGAGAAAAAGAAGAATATTTTAATTTTTAGATTGACTTAAAGTTGATATATCTCTTTAAGTCATTATGCTGCAATAATGTCTTAAAATGTAAAAGATCTTTAAATTGGTACGGTATAAGGACTTATGTAGAACCCATGTATTATTTATTATATTGATTGTTCATTTCTTGTCAAATATCAAGGCATTGCTGTAGTTGAAATTTAGCACTTTAAGATCTAAAACTGCACCATTTGACTGGAACAGTATTCCTATTAATTTGAGTTATTTCCTGAATGTAGGGATTATGATCAGTGTTTAGGCATAAAGCATAAAGTTTTTTAGTATGATGAGGAAAAATGACTCTCTATAGGGAAAAATTTTTATGTCTTTTACTGAAGCTGGAGAGGGAATAGACAGGTTCAGCACATTTTGTTTTCATTGTCAGTTCATATTATCTGGATAAATGGTAGTCTGGGGACAAGTCAAGACGATAAAAACATAACTGAAACAAAGCTTTGAATTGATAAGTGAAGCATTAATTTATAATCTATAAATATTTTATTAATTGAATTATTTACTCTTTGGGAAAGATCTAATTTTTTAAATATGGCCTAGTAGATATATTTCCAGTCAAATTGTGTACTCCAGTCATGCTGTATTGAAATATATTTCTAGGTATTAGTTAAAATTGCTTATGCTGGTATAGGAAAAAACATAACGGACTATGGGTAAGATTTCCCATTCTTAATTAAACTTATAACAGGAAAAACTACCGAAGATCTGTTTCAGCCTCTATCCTATATAAAACAGTCAAAACAGGGATGTGGGAGAATGAAGAATCAAGTTTCAGGTAAGTAATCAGCAGGGCATGAGACTTCACTTCGGGTACCATAGCTTCACGGTGTCAGGCAATAAATGCAACTTAATTTAAGCAAACAAACAAAAAGTGATGTTATTGTTTAATTTGGTATATGGCAGTAGCTTCACAGTCTGTGGTGTCTATCTGAATTTAGACCAATATGCACGAATAATAGAATATAATTTTTAATGGTTGACATTACACATGAACATTTTTTCCAAACAAATAGTGATACTTCATTAGCTTAATTTTAAAAATATATGTAAAATATGTCTTTTTAAGAAATAAACTTTTAAAATAATTTGGAAAATAATTACTTTCTAATATAGAAGGGTAGCTTTAAAGATGAATGTTGGCAGTTGTGAATAAAGTCTATGGCACCATTTTAATGCAGTTGAGTAATTCTATATCCTCTCTCTTGTTCTCTCCCTCCCTTCTTTGGGCTAGGGCCCAATAGGTCAAAACTACAAGATATGCTTGCTAATTTGAGAGATGTTGATGAGCTTCCTTCATTGCAGCCATCTGTGGGTTCACCTTCCAGACCCAGCAGCTCCAGGCTTCCTGAACATGAAATAAATAGAGCAGATGAAGGCGAGTATTTAAGACACTTGAGCACAAAAAGCACTTGGATTTACATAACTAAATTCTTATTAAAAATAGTTTTCTATAAGAAGAGTTGTATTCTACCAATACTTGTCATTCCCCAAATATAGATTATCTTATATTCACTGGGGTTTGATTCTAACTTCAATCTTTAAGACTTAAAAAGGGGTACAGAAACTTAAAACCAACTCTAAATTCTAGTTTAGAACATCTTTGCTATTTCAGATAAAGCTTCCATGGCCTTTGTGTGCTATATACATTTCTTTATTTTTATTTTATTAATTGAGGAGGCAGTGCCATACTTAAGAGGCATTATAGTCAAAAGTTCTAAAAAATCTTAGCAATCAAATAAGGTTATGCCTATTGTTGCTTTCTCTCTTCAACCCTCAAGGCTGCTAGTTTAGCCATGGCTAAATGTGTTTACAGGATTTTCTTGGCCATTTCTAAAGCACTCACTAAATTAGCCCAAACAATATGTGTGGTCAAATCCCACAGATCTGTCTTTTTTTTTAAGAGTAATTTTTGTTTAACACCTGCATTAAGTTATATGAAAGTATTAGAAAACAAAACAAAACACCTGGCTGAAGACCTAGTCTCAGTCTTGCATGAATCTTGTGGTTAAAACTTTGGCATGAAAAAGCTTTTCTAATTTAAACAATCCCCTCATTATTAGTAAATGTTTAGGGTTCTTTGAATTTCCTCAGAGGATATATGGTATGTTTTGGTAAAACCCATTTGTATTATTGCTGCTTTAATAATAACTAAAGCATGGTGAAAATACCTTAATTTGTACTCCACTTTGTTCTTACAAGTTTTTCAGTAGAGTTTCTGCTACTACTATTTTTAAAAGCACAAAGCTATTATTTCATTTCTTTGACTAATATTTATGACTGAATAAAAAATTATAGGAATGAGTCATAGCTGAAAAACACCTTGTAAATTCAGTTTTCTACGTATACTAATAAATCAATCTACTTGTTACTTTTAAGAAAAAATTTATTTCTTTAACAGCCAATTTAAACTACTAAATTCATCTAATGAGCTCTTCAATGCTTGTCATCAGTAAAGTAACACCTATAGAAAACTAGAGTGACCACCTCTGACAGTTTGTCAGGATAATCTGCCTTTATAAAAAATGACACTTTATTATTGGTCAAATTAAGTAAAATCTTCATATAATAAATTTAGCATTTTTCTTTTAACTGGTTCTTCTGTGATGATGACTAAAGGGATTGGATTGGTATATGTCCAGTGTTATAAAGTAAGGGTATTTATATTTATCACAAAATAAATCTGACATCTTGAAGCACAGTTGGAAACTAAAGAAAAGTGTTCAAATGGACACTTTAAGAATTTTTGATTAAAATAAGCATTCTTAAATGAAATATAACATACCTATAGAAAACTGCTGAAGTCACCAAAGTATAGCTCAGTGAATTATTACAAAGTGAACCCAACCATGTCACCACTGCCTCTAGGCCAAGGAGCAGGACATGCCCAGGACCCTAGAGATCCTGCTAATAATACCTTCTAATCCTCTCCAGAGGGATCCTGATTTCTTCGCTACATATCAGCATGTTTCAGTTGTACCGTTCTCATTTGAAATTTTCTACATTCCTCCAGGTTATAGAATTAACAGTTTTATTTGAATGAGACAAACAGTGTGCAGATTTATTTGCTATATATTTTTACTAATTGATAGAAATAATTTGGGTAATTAGCAAGAACTGTCATGTGAGGAAAACTGACTCCTTTAGACACATAATTTTTCTGTGCAGTGTAAAAGAAAGGATAGTAACTATTGGGTTTGTTTCATGTTTTATTTTTCTAATTAGATGATATCTTTAGCTATGATTATGACATGAAAAAAGCGAACAATTCTTCAGGATTTTCTGCTCACTGAATTTCATTATGTTTAAGAGCAGTTTAAAATAATCACATGTAGACATGCCCTTACTGAGATTAATTATTGACTCTGTAAAGGTGTCTTGTGTTTCTTTTGTCTTCTTCCAGTGGAAGCACTGACGTTTCCTCCTTCCTCTGGGAAGTCATTCATCATGGGAGCGGACGAAGCCCTTGAGAACGAGCTGGGGCTTGGAGAATTGGCAGGCCTTACTGTGGCCAACGAAGCAGATTCGCTAACGTATGACGTGAGTGACCATTTTATTTTTGTTGCTTTTACTTATTTTTAGAAGTAAAAAGTTAATTTTATAGAAAAAGATGGTAATAAAGGAGAAAAGCTTCACAAGTATAGAATTTTATTCATGAATATATTATAAAGATAAAAATATTTTCCACATCCTATAGGGATTAAAATTATGTGCTTTACTGAAATCTATATGTTAGTTATAGCTAGCTAATTGGTTTTAGATAAAGGAAGGATTTCCCTCTTCCATTACTATGTTTGGGTTTGTTTTATGTTTTAGGGCATCAATAATTAATTGAAATTCATGTCTGCCTAAAGGTATCGTTTGTGTGGCTTTTTTAGTACATCAGTATTCTGCTGAGAAGAGAGAGGGTACTCTGAAGATTTTAAGGCTGACTCATAGTGATTTGGACCAAAATTGAAATGATCATATCTTGATGCAATCAAAACACAGTTGCTTTATAAATGCACTTGTAATTGTTCATTATAATAAATTGTCAGAAAAACAGTTGCTTATTTCATAAACTATTTACAACCTAACTTATCTCTTCATTAAAACCCTCTGACTCTGCTACTTCATCATCTTTGTTGGAGAACACAGTGTAGTTTCTGATGCATGAAAGATCTAGGCCAGATGCCTAAGCCAACCATGACTATGATAAGAAAGTATTCCAAAGAGGAACCTTCACCACTCACTCCTCTCCCTGGAAATCCAATACACATGAGTAGGTGATTTGGTTTCTACCTCCAAAAACAGCTAAAATCCATGATTCTTTATACCTCCCATCCTAGGCCAGTTTTCTTCACCTGGAAAGAATATCCTCAGGTGATGAATAACAAAAATAACAGCAAAACTCACACCCTCTGTATATGTCATTCTTGTTATATATTATAATAACCCAATATAAACTGACTCCTTGCATTTCATTTTTCCATATGTGATACAGATTGTTATTCAATGTTTTTGTATCCTTGTGTTCTGTATCTGTCTTTTAAACACCATTTAGTTGACTTCTTGTTTTCATCTAATCCTTGACAAACTTTTAAATTGGAGCTTTTAGTCCATTTCTTTTTAAAGTAGTGACTGGTATCTTTGGATTTAGGCATGCCATCTATTTATGCCACTGTTCTGTGTTTGTTTTATTTCTCCTATTTTTGCCTATAAAGGGATTGATAATTTTTTATTATTTGCCCCACTCACTAGAGGGCCAGTGCACAAAATTTGTGCACAGTTAGGGTCCCTAGGTCTGGCAGGCGATAAGGACTGATCAGGGCCTTCTGGCTGGGGCCTCCCTTCCCTGGCTGGGGCCTCCCTTCATTCCATGTCATCCCATGGGGGTCAGTGCATGTCAGATGCTGGCTGGGGCCTTTCTTCATTCCATGTCATCCCATGAGGGTCAGTGCATGTCATAGCTAGGGATCAGTCTCTTGGTGGAACTCCCGTGGGGACAATTTGCATATTAGGCTCGTGTGTGTGTGTGTGTGTGTGTGTGTGTGTGTGTGTGTGTGTGTGTGTATGTATTACTCCTTTATTATTACCCTAGAGATTACAATTGGTTTATGTAAAATATTACAGGGCTGTAATATTTTATTTGTGAGATATAAATATATATGTGTGTGTGTGTGTGTGTGTGTGTGTGTGTGTGTGTGTGTGTGTATTTTTTTTTCCCTTGTCAGTGTTTTGAGTGGTTAGAGCATTGACCTGCATATCGAAGGGTTGCAAGTTCTTGGTCAAAGGGGCACATACGTGAGTTGCAGGTTTGATCACCAGCTCTGGTCAGGGTGCATAAGGGAGGCAAATATCTCTGACTGATATTTCTTTCTCTCTCCCCCTTTTCCACTCCCTTCCACTCTCCAAAAAAATCAATGGAAAAATACTCTAAATGAGGATTTAAAAAGTGACAAAACTCACACCCTGTGTATATGTCATTCTTGTTATATATTTTATTTCTCTAACATTTATCTCCAACAAGGTACTGCTTTGTACACTTGATATTAAATTAGTATTATTATCCATTTACACTATCTATTTTTCTTTTTTCATTTTCCCTGTGTATCTGTCCATCTGGGATCACTTTCCCCTTATTCTAAGAACACTTCATATTTATCTCTTTAATGAAGATCTATCTACTGGTGGCCAGTAATCTGTTTCTGGTTTTCTTAAATTTTCTTTATTTCACCAAAATGGGTTAACTTATCTCTAATACTGAATTCCAATTAGCAGCAAGGGTTTTTTTTTTTTTTTTTTTTTTAAGCACTCTAGATATATTATTTCATTGTCCTTTTTTGTTGTTTTCTGCTAAAATCAATTGTCATTTCTATTGGTCATATAATGGTGGTCTGATCTCCCCCAGCCCCCCAACTGATATTTCCCTATGTCCTGATTGTCAGCCAAGGTTTAGTTTTCTTTTTATTAAACTTCTTAGATCATCAGCTTTGTAAGTTCTCAGCCACTTATCTTTACACTACTCTATCACTATTCCCCCCATAATAAAACTCTAGTTATATTGTTAGATCTTCTTTTTATAGCCTCTGTCTCCTATTTCCTTTTTCTGTATTTTTCATCTTTTATTTTTTCATACTTCAATCTAGATTATTTTAGAGCCCATCTTCCAGTTCACTTTTCAGTTATGTGTAATTTGTAATTAAACTAGTTGATTGCGGTCTACATTTTTGTGTCTAGAATTCCTCATTGTTTATAGATTTCTCCCAAAATTGTAAATTTTTCCTTTTTATCTTCTTGAACATAGTAAGCATGATTATTTTAAAATTTGAATCGGAAACTCTAGTTCTTTTAATATAATGTGTTGTTTATGCTTGTTTTCATTTATATTTTATTATCTTATATTGGCACAGTTATCTTTTATTATGTCCAAATAACTATATTTGAAAAATTGTCTGTAGAATAACTTTGGGCCTATGATGGTATCTTCCCCCAGAGAGTATATTTTAATATGCTTTTGTCGATTGCCTGCAGCCACTAGAAATCTGTATCACCTCACTCCATTTTCAGGTTTGGACATGATCTATGTATAGCTAATCTGCAGTCCCTACAAGGGCTTATGTTCTTCCAGTTTACTCTCATGTCTAGGATGCAGCCCTTTGAAAACAAAACCCAAAGCAAGGTAGTTCACCAATCCTCATTTTTTGGACAGTCCCTGGACACCAGTTTGCATCCCCCTGTACTGCCCAGGAGTTAGAAGCACAGCTCCACCTCTCAGCCATCACTGGTATCAGTAAACACTGTCTGGGAAAAACTCCAAATATCAGACTCTCCTTCTTAGACCTCTGGCTTCCCCTGGATCGATGCCTGGGGTGTGAAGAGTTCATACATGGTGCTAGTGCCAAGTCATAGACCAACCTCGTTAGCTTTCCTGTCTCTTGGAATGAAAACATTGTGCTTTTATTTTTTAGTTGTTGAAATGGAGTTTCTGTGGAGAAAAACAACACAGTGATGTGTGTGTTTTATCAGTGAAATCTATTTTTGTAACATTTGATTCTCTTCTAATTTTAACATTTTATGTTTCCAGTTTATAAACTTTGTTACTAATTTGATGAAAAAAATTAGTTTTTAGAGAGTATTGAAAAGCTCAGAAGTATAATATTCTATAATGTTAACATGTTATAGATAACTTGGTTTTTCAACTTTTACCCAAAATTAGATTCTGTACTAGGATGAATAATTTAGGTTGAAATTACTTGTTTTTAATCATCCTGGTGAAGATTGATTTTACTCTTTTAAATTATTTCATCCTTTTTCGGTATTGGATTGTTGCCTGTTTTCTTATTATAGTACTTATATTTCTTCAAAGAAAACCACTATTGATATATTGCTCATTTTGTTTACTGATTTGATTATGTACATTTAAAAATCATATTGTTTTGAAAGTTGTAGAATGTGATGGTTTAATAAATCAGCAAGAAGTAACGTTGAAATACAGCTTTCCCACCCCCCCATCCTGATCTAAATGTATAAGCATTTTTCTTTTGTTTCTTTAATAGATAGCAAATAATAAAGATGCACTGAGGAAGACATGGAACCCTAAATTTACATTAAGAAGTCACTTTGATGGCATTCGAGCCCTTGCTTTCCACCCTACTGAGCCCGTTTTGATAACAGCATCAGAAGATCACACATTAAAAATGTGGAATTTACAGAAAACAGCCCCAGCCAAAAAGTGAGAATGTTCTACTTTAACTTTATTTGAATATTTTAATTAACAGATTTTCAGCAGAAAAATACCGACTTTATTATTTACTGTTAAATTCTCATATATATCTTCTTTCTCCACCTTGTCATATAATTTAGAGTGTTTTCCCATTTATACTCACAGTCTAATACTAGGTTAGAAAACTGACACTTAGGGAGGAATGGTGTGACCTGGTTTCCCAGGAATCCTGATTACAATCCTTATACAATATTTTAAATGTTTGTCACGTTTGGGAGCCCTTAAAATGTACTGGAAGTTCTATTGCTGTAAATAGGTATAGGCTGTTTGATCATCACACTTGGACCTCAATCTGTTCCGTTGTTCACAAGCTTTGGACTTTTGGGGTGGAAGGGAGGGCAGGAGGGATCCTCTTTGGCCTTGTCTTTATGTTTAGATACTTTCCACATTTTCCGTATGTCTGTCAAGACATCTAGACTGAAAGGCAGTGTTGTTGCCATCGTATACCTGCTAGTCTTGGCCCTCTTGGTTTTTCTCTGGACCTGGACAGACATGAGTTGGTGCAGACCCTTTTTTCAGTCACCAAACTAGTCCTAATCTCATTTGTTGGGGTCCTTATTGGAGCTCCTTTCTTCCTTGGGTCACATGGTCCAGAACCCAGCATCTGCCAGCAAAGACCCTTCTATAGTGTCAGGCATTTCTGTTATTGAAGAGTGGAAATGAATTTCAAATGGAGGAAATGACAGAAGTTTTATTATTGGTAGAGGATATCTATTGCCCATGTAAAAGAGATCAGTGACATTCCTGCTATGAGTCTCGTATAGACTAGATAAATACTTGATTTATCAGTATTTATCAACTGCACCAGATCTTGCTAAAACCAAGTGAATTCTCATCTTCAGCATAAAAAAAATAATTCTGGTTATAAATAGTGCTCTTTGTCTTTCTGGTTCTTTGGTCACAGTGGGCATCACATTAGATTAGAGCAGTGTTTCCCAAAGTGTGGTACGCGTACCCCCAGGGGTACGGTAAGAGTTTGGTGGGGATACGCGTTGCACCGGAGTTTGGTGGGGATATGCACTGCACCGTGCTTAGCTGCGCCTAATTCTACGTTCTCATGAGTACGAGGGGCATTCAGCGTTACGAAAATTATAGAAGGGGTACACATATGTCAAAAGTTTGGGAAACACTGGACTAGAGAATATGAATGTTTCATCATATATTCTTGACTAAATTTTAAGAAAAATATTGAAACACATTTCTTATTGGTGATAGCTTAGTAATAATACCTTCATTTATAAATAATAGTGTCCTATTCATCTTTGAACTTGAAACTTTGGAAATGACTCGAGGAGAGAGACCATATGCCTCTAAAAACTTGCATACAATGTAGAATATGGACTTTAAACCCATCAACAGTCATGGCTAGTTTAGGCACTGTAGAGCACTCATACACTCAGTATTCTGAGTAATGAATGAACTGATGACTTGGACAGTATCTACAAGTATTAAGGACAGACATATTAACCTGCATGGAAATACCAGGAAGTTAAAGTGCATGGTCCTGTCCTAAATGGTTTTTCTTGCAGAATCACATTTGGAGTCATTGCTATTTTTGTTTGTTTTATTTTAAACATAAAGAAATCTGAAATTCCAGAAGGTTAAATAATTTGCCTAACAGCACTGGAAATTGAATCCAGAATTTATGATGTAATTCAGTAATATTGTTTATTGCTGAGACTTAGAGAGGTAAACGCCGTCTTTTCTCTCTGATTTAGGAGCACTTCTCTTGATGTGGAGCCTATCTACACATTCAGGGCTCATAAGTAAGTATGTGCTTTATAAAAAATAAACATCATTATAAATCAGCTGGATTGGGATATTTTATTTTCTTTCACTATGTATTTGTGTTATGTATTTTTGGATATAGTAGCTTTTTTTGTAATTGTAAAAGAAATGGTCAGATAATGTTAAAAATAGTTTATCACTATCAAATAGGAATTCTTGCTGAAATTATATTTTATTTACATGATGTTTAAATAATGTTTATATCTTTCTTAAAAGAAAGTTGAGGCAATTAGGTTGAAATATTAGAAATCTTGCATTTTTTTTTTTTTCACTTAAAGATAACCTACATAAAAATATCCAAGAATTTTTTATTGTGATCACACACTGCTTTTTCTGTTAAGCTTTGTAACACAGAGATCATAATACTTTAAAAAAAATATATATATATATATTTATTAATTTCAGAGAGGAAGGGAGAGGGAAAGACTGATAGAAACATCAATAATGAGAGAGAATCATTGATCAGCTGCCTCCTTCACATCCCCCGCTGGGGATCGAGCCCGCAACCCGGGCACATGCCCTTGACTGGAATCAAACCCAGGCCCCTTCAGTCTGCAGGCAGACACTCTATCTATTGAGCCAAACTGGCCAGGGCCACAATACTTTTTATATAAAGGTTAGATAGTAAATATTTGTAGGCTTTACAAGATACATATCTATATCTATATCTATCTATATTTTTTTAATTTTATTGTTTTAGTTTAGTTTGGATCTGTAACCCTTCTAAAAATGTAAGATGCATTCTTAGTTTGAGGACTGTTCAAAAGCAGACCATTGGCTGGTTTGGGCCCACAGGGCATAGTCTACCAACCTTTGGTTTAGCAAAGGAAGAAAAATCTATGCTTTGATAGTATCATTCATTTTCAGAGCTGAAAAATAGAAAGCCATTTGAATAATTAAGTATTCTTAATTTTCGTGAGTCTTATTACCAGATTCTTTTTGAGACTAGAAATTGGTTGTTGTCTCCCAGAGGTCCAGTGCTCTGTGTGGTGATGAGCAGCAACGGTGAGCAGTGTTACAGTGGTGGCACCGATGGGCTGATCCAGGGCTGGAACACGACCAACCCTAACATCGACCCCTATGACTCCTATGGTATGTGAGTCTCCAAAGATAGGAAAGAATAAAATGTTTTCTTTTTACACATTTTACATAGCATTAAAGGAGAAAATGAGATTTTAAAAAAATAAATTGATAAAAGAGAACTATATCTTTGTTCAAAAGAACTCCTTTATTGAAGAACCAATTTGATATATAATGTAAAAGAAAAAATGTATTCTTCCTGAGAAAATAGTTCCCAACATCCAAAATCTTATTGATGGGCGATGCTGGGTTGGTTGACAGTTGTTTTTGTCATTTTAGGCTTCTAAGCAGTACCTGACACATTATTACTAATCTGTAATCATATTTCATCTCTATTCTGATAAACAACTTTGAAGGAAAATGCATTTAGCATCATCTTCTTGATCAATTATGGGAAGGCATAGAGGCTAATGACTTTTCGAGTCCATGGCACCAAAATATTTGAAAGGAATTATAAGTTTAGAAGTGCCAGGAGGCACAAATCCTTATTATAATTTGTCACTAGCTACTACCTTAAAATTCCTTGTAAAAACTGGTTTAGGAATTGACTTTTTTTTTTTTTTCTATTCTAGAATGATGTCATATTTACCATTAAACTATATTTTATTTTCATTATTACTTTAGATTAATTTTATCACCAAACCAAAGTAAAGATAAGAAATTCAATAAATTAAAAAAATTTCCAACACTTATTTAATAAGCATGTAACGTATATTTTGTGAGAGGTGAACCTCCTCTCTCTCCCTGGTTCTCTTGCTCATTTATATGTTTCATGCTTTTCCTTACTTCCTTTATCTAACAGGGGATCGATCAGTTGTCCTCATTCTGTCCCAAGCCAACCCTTCTGCTTTTGCTCTTGACCCCATTGTCTCTTGTTTCTTTTGAAACATGCTACCCTCTTCCCACTTTCCACCCCAAGTCTCTCTGGCTCTCTTAAGCCTCTTTGTTCTCTTCTCATCCCCTGAGCATATAAGTAAATTCAGGTACCCCCATCCTGAGCAAGGGAAGCCTTTTCTGGCTTTGTTTCCCTCCCTGGCTTCTGTTTAACTCTTTCCTTCACCATCTGTGTCTCCGTGATGGTGGAAAACACTCTCACTAGGTACTAATTCCATGTCCTTTCCCGGGGCACCACCTCCCTTTGTATTTCCATCTTCTGCTCACACCACTTAAGAAGAACAAGATTTTCAGTCCTGATCTGAAGGGTATTTTACAGTCCTTGTTTTACTAGATGTATTGGCTCTCTGAAACTGTGGACCATTCCATCCTCTTTTAAATTTGTCCACTATTGGCATTTTTTAATTATTATTATTGGCATTTTTGACATGTAACTCTGTGACAATTTCTCTTCCCTATCCTTCATAAACTCCTTTTCTTTTTTTATCTTAACCCTTTGCACTCCGAACCATTCTGAACATTGGCTACCAGCAACTCGACGCTACTTTGCGAAACGTGCGTTGAATTAACTCAATTCCCCGTAATCACTAATAAACTGCAATGTCCCCTAAGAGGGGACATCCGAGTGATATGCTAGAATTCCGATGTCCCCTGAGAGGGGACAGCGGAATGCAAAGGTTTAAATATTGGCATTCATCAAGGTCCAGGCCCTAACTCATTCTCTACATTGTTCACATATTTATTTTTTTTTAGATTGAATCCACTGCCATGATTTTTTCATAAGTCCCCTCTTTAAGCTTCAGACTGCCTTTAGAAGATGTTAAAGTGGCTGTTTCATTGTCCATAAGTCCTCTTCAGTACTGTATTTCTTCTCCCATCTATTACTTACTAGTTGGTGGCTCTACAGAATTACCCCAATTAGAAATTTACAGGTTATCCTCGATTCCTGTTTTACTATCCACACCTTACACATTACTTAGACTTTTTTTTATGTCATTCCTAAATATTTTTTTAAAAATTTACTCCTGCTCTGTCCTTTTTGCCACTGCCCTTGCTTGGGTCTTCATCACTCTCAGTCTAATAAGACAGTCCACTTGCTTCATCTGGATTTTGTTTAGACTGTTTTCTTTACAGAGTTACCTTATTAAGTAGGTACTTCACCCTGCTGACCCTTCCCTACTGCTTTTAGGGTAATTCTCAAGCGCCTTAATGTGTCATAGAAGTCTCACTATAAACTAGCCACTCTATCTGGTCTACTTCCTGACTCAAACTTCATACTCCGGTAATTCTAGTTGCTTATTTCCTCACATATTACATTATTGTTCCTTCTGTGGTTTTGTAGGCGCTGCCTCTTTTACCAGGAACGACTCCTCTATTCTTTGCCTGCTGACATCTGTTAACTCTAGGTGTCATTCTCCCAGTTACTGTACCTGTAACTGGTTTCTGTCACTATTACTGTACTTGTCGCACTGTCTTTTGAGGACAAGGATGGTATTATGTCTTAATCATCTGTGTGGCCCTGGCATATAGCATAGTATGTCTTTAATAAGTACTTTAGGATGTGACAGAGAGGATATAGGGCAGATAACAACAGTAACATTTTACACTTAACCTCTGTGAGCCATCTTGAAGGTGAGGATTAATAATTTCCAATTTGACTTTTATCATGAAACAGTGCTAAGTAACCTTCTCCTGCCTGCTCCCTCCCTCTCCCCCCTGCACATCATTCATATGTCAGTTACTGCTGTTTGAGAATTTGGGGGTCTCAGTTCATGTCCTTTATGTCAGAGGCCCGTTGCTCCCAGGAATAACGGCCGTTCGGGCGCTGTGGGATAGTGGCTGAGGAGTACATCCACAGTGCTCCAGGGGAGGAGGGGGATCTCTCTCCACTTCCTCAGGGCGTGTGAGTGTGCTTTCTCTGAAGTAGTTAAATTCAGATGATTTATGTGTGTTAACATGCTCTTTAAGTAAAATATCTAGACAAATGGAAGAAAAAAGGGAGGGAGGATGAAATGCCTAATTTTTTAAAATAGAAAAATGTGTACTTTGTCATTTTAATTTCTAAATTTTAAACCCTAAATTTGCATATTTTCAAGCCTATTTTTAATTGTAGCATTTCAGAAAAAATTAGACAGTAGGAAGCATATTTTATACTGTTATCATGTCCTTTTGTTTTCTCTGGATTCTAAGAATCTTTTTAAGTTGTTTTTTCCTGACTTTGCCTTCTTGCTGTTTCCTGTAGACCCTTCTGTTTTAAGGGGCCCTCTGCTCGGCCACACGGACGCAGTCTGGGGTCTGGCTTACAGTGCAGCACACCAGCGTTTGCTGTCCTGCTCAGCAGATGGCACTCTTCGTCTATGGAACACAACTGAGGTTGCTCCGGCCTTAAGTGTGTTTAATGATAATCAAGGTACATACTTTTAAAATAATTTCACTGACTCTTTTATAAAATTCTAAATTATCTATGTCTTATTATAAAAACAAACATGCAAATAAATAAATGATTCCATACATTTTTACTGTTTAAATTTAATTTGAAAGGTTTTTGAAGTTGTAAAAATACATATATTTGAATTTTCAACTTATTATGTATAAGTTTTAAAAACATAATATTTGGTGAAAGAACACATCTTTAAAATTTTTTTAGTTGAAATAGAATCTGATTTTTACTGTATATAAATTATAAGGATACATTTTAATGAGTTTGACAAATGCATAACTCTTACATCAAGATATAAACATTTACTTTCCTCCATAAACTTATCTTATGATCTTCCCAGTCCATCCCCCCCCCCCCCATGCCCACACACAGGTACCTACTGTTGTGATTTCTTTCATCATAGATTAGTTTTGTCTATTCTAAAAGTTCATATAAATGAAATCATGAACTGTGTATTCTTTTTATGTCTGGGCTTTTACTCTCACAATAATATTTTTATGATTCATCCATGTTGTAGAAAGTATCAATAATTTATTTATATTGTTTAGTAGCATTTTATTAAACCACATTGTGTTTACTCATTTACTTCTTAATGGACATTTGGATTGTTTTCAGTTTTTGACTGTTTTGAACAAGCTGCTGTGAACATTCCTATGTTTTTATTATAGGTGGGTAAAGACCTAGAAGTAGAATTGTGTGTTTGACCTTATGTGAAATTGCCAGACTTTTCTCCAGAGTGATTATGCCATGTTACACCACTGACAGCAATGTATGAGGATTCCTGTTGTTCTACATCCTTAGTTACTAACATTTGGTGTTGTCAGTCTATTTAATTTTAGTCATTCTGATATGTAGCAGTGTTTCATTGTGACTTAATTTGAATTTCTTTGGTGGCTAATTCTTTTGAGCACTTTATTTGTGTGCTTATTGGCCATTAATATATCTTTGGTAATATACACATTTTTAAACTATTTGCTTTAGTTTGAATCAAATGGAAAAATCAGATTATATTCATATATACATATTCTATTTTTTTATGTTTATAAATAAGCTTCAAATTTTAATCAAGTTTTACCAATTATAGATGATAAATAAAAATACCTTCTTTATTCTTGAGCTGTGATAATGTGTGTCTAGCTTTTTTTTTTTTTTTTAAAAATATATTTTATTGATTTTTTACAGAGAGGAAAGGAGAGGGATAGATAGTTAGAAACATCGATCAGCTGCCTTTTGCACACCCCCCACTGGGGATGTGCCCGCAACCAAGGTACATGCCCTCGACCGGAATCGAACCCGGACCCTTCAGTCCGCAGACCGACGCTCTACCACTGAGCCAAACCGGCTTCGGCATGTGTGTCTAGGTTTTGAAAAGTTGCCTGCATTTAATATTTGCATGATTACCAGTAACAATTTGGAGCTGTACATCTTAAATTCTTAAATTTTTGATGAGTTAGAATTCCTACTAAGAGATGGGCTTTTAAAATGAAGAATGTCCAATGATGCCACTTTAAGCTGCAGGTTGAGGTAGAAGCAGCAAAACTTGTAGTCCGTACATGTTTTTCATTTATTTTTTGAGTAAAGGCTTGCATTCCATTTATATATTAGCTGAGTAACAGGTAGAAGATGTACTGAACAGGTAAGAGTAACGAAATCAGCTAGGGCTAAAAGAAAAAAAAGAAATAATCTCCATTGAATGACAATGAGCACATTTTTATCCTAATGTTGAGCCTTACTCCTCAAAGAAATCATGCTATTATTTGTTTTGCTATATTTTAAGCATATTGTTAAGTAGACCCTCTAATTATGTTCTTTTTTAGAATATGGAATCCCTGCCTCTGTGGATCTAGTAAGCAGTGACCCGAGCCTTATGGTAGCATCATTCAGCAAAGGATATACAAGCATCTTTAACATGGAAACACAACAACGCATTCTCACTTTAGAATCCAGTCTAGATACGAGTATGTATAATAGTCTTTAAATAGTCTTCATCATAATGAAAGAATTGACTATGAAAAATGCTTGTCATTCTAAAGTCTTCAGCCTGCTAAATCACAGAACATAGTTGCTTAGTTAGAAGGATATAATAACTTAGTTGATTTTAAATCTTTGGGTTAAGTTCATGCACATTTATAACTATAATAGAGGCCTGTTGCATGAAGATTCATGCAATAGGCCTTCCTTCCCCTAGCTTCCAGCACCCAGGAGCCAGGCCTTTGCTCTGGCTGCTGCCTTCAGTCTTTGCTCCTATAGCTCCCTCCTCCACCTGCCTTCCCCCTCATATCAGGCATCCCACCCTGCCCGGCTGCTACCCAGAGGCCTAGAGCAGCTGGGGAGCAGGGCCTGCCGCTATCTTTGTTGGGATAATTTTCATATTTACTCCTGATTGGCTGGTGGTCATCGTGAAGTGATGGTCAATTTGCATATTTCTCTTTTATTAGTGTAGACTATTTGAAATAGCATTGGATCTATTTATTCCAAAGAGGAGTCAAGTTGATTTTATGCCTAATGATTAGTTTTCTATTTTGTTTGAAGAAAATATTTATTTGGAATAAAAAATATTTCTCATTTCTCATAATATATATTGAGAAATATATATATATATATATATATATATATATATTTTTTTTTTTTTTTTAATTTATTGATTTTTTGCAGAGAGGAAGGGAGAGAGCTAGAGAGCTAGAAACGTCGATGAGAGAGAAACATCGACCAGCTGCCTCTTGCACATCCCCCACTGGGGATGTGCCCGCAACTAAGGTACATGTCCTTGACCGGAATTGAACCCGGGATCTTTCAGTCCGCAGGCCGACGCTCTAGCACTGAGCCAAACCGGTTTCGGCATTTCTCATAATATTTTTTAAACCAACTTAACTTTATATTAATGGTAGAATTTGACACTGCTCCTTACTGGTTAGACTATAGATTAAGCTGTACCTCTCAAAATCCCAAATCTGAAGCTTCTTATTGGATACAGGAAGCCAGGAGATAATTTCTCAGGTTGTAAAGAAGTTATCACAGAATTATTTTGTTTTTGGACTTTTTTATCATTGCTTCCCATCTTTATTCTTAATCCAGGCAGTTACATCTTAGGCTGCAGTTGCTAAGCGTAGATAGCAGGTGGTACCTCTAGGTTTTTCAGGATAGTATTGCTCTGGCAGCTCTCATTTCCTAACATTAAAATTTTGAACACAATTTCAGAATAAACTAAAAACAAACTAAAGTGACATAATTTACCTTTTCAGACTCAGAGTATTCAGTTCTCTTTTGTGTGAAGAAATAGTAGCTTTGACTAATTTGTGTTGTTTTTAATTTTTTCTTTTTAGCAGCCAACTCTTCCTGCCAAATAAATAGAGTCATTAGTCACCCCACTCTTCCCATCAGCATCACTGCTCATGAAGACAGGCACATCAAATTCTATGATAACAATACAGGTAAGAATGTATTTAAAATTGATTATTATTAAAGCAAAAAGAAAGTCTTTACTCTATGTAGGCCGATTTTGGTATCTGTCCATGGCTTTATCATCAGGGAACAGGCATTGAAATATGAGTGCCCTCCCAGCTCAATTTCTGTTCATTTCATTCAGATCTGCTGAGAACTACTCGTTGTGATAGCATATAGAATTATCTTAGTTTATTTAATATTAAGTACATGCTATATTTTTGCCCTAGAGTCAAAGTTATCAGTAGAAACATAATGAAAATTTTATTCAAATACCAATAAAAAATATCTCTTACTGTGAATATATTGGTAGAAAGTATGAGTAGAGGCATATATGATGATTATATTTTGTTTGAAATTATTTGGGTTTTGAATAGCCTTAGTGTTCAGATGGAAAATCCCCGAGTCATTGGTTATATTTTATTTGTTTTTACATGGACTAATCTTTTTCGCATTATAATACTGACTATTTGGTCCTGATTTATTTGAATTGTGGCTTTTCCACTTTTTATTGGATTACATTTCACTAGTCTAAAAGAAATTCAGGCAGAGCTCTGCTGGGCGAAAACACTGTATCATCAGCCATATTTACCTGCGTGTCCGCTATTGGCTTTGTAAATATGTTGACTTTTGCTGACTTTACTTAGCTGTGAGTGACTTAATGTTCTCGAACTCTAGAATATATTGTCTCCACCAAAATTGTGGCCAGTTTTCTCTCTGTTCCTTTATCTTTGTATCAGTCTCTTCTTCTGTTCCCACAATCCATATAATTTGCTTGTAGCTAAAGGATGCAAAGTAGGTGGTTAATGTCTGAGTTCTAGTTGATGCACATGGCTTAAAGGGATATCTGTGTACAAATTACTGACTTTTATATTGTGATTTGAAAGACAAAACTATAATCTGGAATTTGAGCTTTTGTTTCTCATCAGTAGCATGGCCAGAGTAGAGAGGGTGATCTGTTTTAAGTGATGAAAAAAGCTATTGATGCAATAAGTACACAGAGAGGGTACTTACATTGCTGGAGAAACCTGTATAACATAGTAACTGGCATATATTTGTAGAAAGATATTCATAAAGAATAACAATCTCTTTTTCCAAAGGCAAACTGATCCACTCAATGGTAGCCCACCTAGAAGCCGTTACAAGTTTAGCAGTTGATCCTAATGGCCTGTACTTGATGTCTGGCAGTAAGTACATCAGCTATGGATAATTTATTTATTTTTGTCATTTTCATATTAATGTAGTTTACCTTTCAATTTATTTATTTATTTATATTATTTATTTTTATATAGGTCATGACTGTTCAATACGTTTATGGAACCTAGAAAGTAAGACATGTATCCAGGAGTTCACAGCTCATCGGAAAAAGTTTGAAGAATCTATTCATGATGTAGCTTTCCACCCATCCAAATGCTATATAGCCAGTGCCGGGGCTGATGCACTGGCTAAAGTCTTTGTATGACAGAATGCATCTTCTTCATCTTCTATCTCTTTATAAATAACCAACTGCAGAAAAGAGATACAGAAGACCAGGGAAAGAATCAACCCATTCTATCCTTTTGTTCTGCTGAAGGAGCACAGAGAACATTTGTAAAGTATAGTTTTGCAATTCGTATATACTGTTTTCTAAAACTAAGGTTTGTTCAGGTTGCTGCAAGCTCAGCTGAATCTGGAGCCTGAAAACTGTTGTTTCAGATTTTCCCCAAAATAGGAACTTTTATTTCTGTAGTAGTTCTAATTCGCTAGGCAGGCCTGAGCGAACATAGGTTTAGCTTGTCCCCTGTTGAGTAAATAGGGCACATTATAAGGGATAACAAAAAGCTCCAAAAAGCTGGGAATGAGTAGAGGAAGAGCAAAAATTTAGACCTACTTGTCCCTGAGAAATCTTGTTAAACACATTAGCTAGTCAAAACAGTAACCAGTACCATACCTGCTGTACTAATCCCTATGAGCATAATGACCAGGCAGTGTTAAGTGAGTTTTTAATCTAGCTCTCCTTTTAGCTGTTCACATACAGCACCTGGCAAAGCATTTTACCTATTAGGGGGAAAAAAATAAATGCAATAATATGTCAAATATATTATTATGCAGAAATGCTAGACAAATACTCAGTTTGTAAGCACATTTCTGTATTGTATTACATTTTTGAAAGTGAATAACATTCTAAAATTTAGTTGTCAAAAATACCATTGTGAAGAGTAGTTCATAGAGTCTGCTTTTACTAAAGGATTTAACTTAATTCTGCTTATTTTTAAGGGCAAGCAGGGCATATCTTTATAATTTATATTAATTTTAAAACTCTATTCACATGGTATTTACAGTATCAGAGTGATTATTTCTTATAGATAAAATCTTAACTTTTCAGTGGTTGGAAAGCTGGTGGTTATTTGCAAGTACTCATTTATCAAAACCCACATAACCATGTTTCAGATGATCTTTGCTCTTTGTCTCTCATATTCAAATTATCTGACACCAAAAAAATATTTCATAATTATGTTTTAACAGTCCAAAGGGTATGGTTAATCTCAGCTGCTTTTGCAGACATACTAAATAAAGCCAATGTTTTTTACCTCAGAAGTTCTCCATTAGCATTTCCAATAAGAACCTCTTGAAAATCTTCATGGAAGGGTTCAGTGTAAAATGTTGGGTAAATAGTTCTCTCTTTTCCTCTCCCTACCCTTCCTCCATCCATTGTTTAACTTAAAACACAACATGTTTAATGGCAAATCAATATTGTTTCTGTGGAAAACCATATATTAAAGGACCAGGGGCCCCTGAGGTCCTTGCCTTTGACCAACATGTCGTCAGCTCTTGGGAGTCCCATGACCCACTCTCTGAACATGGTACTCAGACCTCATCCCTGCAACTCTTGCCTCTCCTCACTCACTCTTGATCATTCAGAATGTCAGAGACCAATCTAGAAATTAGAAATAAATTACTAAAGTCCACCTTTTCAGGAAAACATATATATATATATATATATATATATATATATATATATATATATATAGTAGGCTCTCAGACTTTACAAAATCCATATCCCTAAATATCTTAACCTTTTAATACAATTCCTACATTCCTATCCTCACATATTCCATTGTCATAACATTTGCACTTGTACTGATATTTCTCCTTGAAGAAGTATCCTGGTGTTAATGTGGATAATTAACTTTTTTTCTTTAAAATTACTGCTTGTCTGCTTCTAGAAATCTGTAATATACAGGCAAATTTTCTTTAAAGTTCAGGGCCTGTGCTAAATGCTTGGTTGATATACAATGTGCTTTAATATTTTGACACAGCTACCTTGTCATTTCATCTGAGCTTTTGTTAACAGTGGGCTCAAGGGACTCTTGTATAATCAAATGAATTGTCCTGGACATGAGCTACCATATCATAGCTGAGCTGTATACCAGGTGAATGTTTATATTCCCATGCAGAAATGGAATTCCACATTGTGTTTGTGGAATTCCTCTTTTGGTTCTTCACAAAGTAAAGTAATGCTGTTGCTAACATTTGTAGAAAGATGCTGGAAAATTCTAGCCAGGTGCCCACCCTTCTTGTATTTATGATGGACAACTACAAAGCTATTGTTCTGCCAGTTATTTCTTTAATTACCTTCCATGGTCTTCAGTACCTTCTCCTGCCACTGAAATTCTCAAAACCAAGACTTTTCTCTTCACCTGCATTTTATACCTCACCGCTGATTTTTTTCTGATAGTGAGTGGAAAATAACCACGAGATAATGTAGACAGTAGTGTAAGTGTTGGAACTGTTGAAAGTTCCTTAGGAAGCCAATGCTGTGCCACTGGAGAGTGTACAAAGAAACAGATTCCTCTCTACTAGCGCTGTGTGATGTCAGCCTAGAAATGAGCCAAAGTGTCTTCCAGCCAGTTAGAAGTATATTCATGTGTCTGATTTTCCCCTCAGCCCACCAGAAAGGTGAACAAAATGAAAAAAAAAAATTTAAACAGTCATTGACATACTCTCATAGGGCTTAGTTTGTAAATATTTTGGATGAAGTGTATTGGAATAGTATGAAAACCATCAGAAGACGTGGGTTCCTGCCTTATTTTCCTGTGCTGTGGGTACACCTGTGGGAGCTTGCAGCACCCTTCTCAAAACTCAGCTGTCATTGGGAGCTCATTTGCTACTGGAACCATAGATATTTAACATGAGTGATATAATGACCTTCAGTATTTTTCTATTGAACAAGTTTATCAATTTTTGTCATTAAACAGATAATTAGTTATGCAAAGTATTTAGCTTTTATAATCATTTTAGTTATGACTAAAGGGGGAGAAATTGAACTGCATCACTGATAATGAGCTTTGTGAGAAATTTTTTGTTTATTTGACTTTCATTCCTTCAGTATTCTTGCTACAGATTTTTTTTTGAGATGATTTATTTGAAAATGTCTAAAATGTATGTATATTTTATAAATATATATTATATATATTGTGAGAATATATATAATATATAGAGACTATATATATATATACATATATATATAAAAACCATAGGTGCATTTTACTGTTTTGTATTTTCATTTTTGGAGGTAGTGTACACAGCAGGTAATGATGAGTGTTGTGCTGTTTGCTTTTGCAGTATAATATATAGTTCTAAATGTTTAAATTACTGTAAATATTCTATTCATTATAGGCTAGCATGCTTGTTTTAAAGATTGTCATTCTAGTTTATTAAAATCTGAATGTAAGAAAACTTGGCTATTTAAATGTGAATTGAAAAATATTTCATTCTCAGTACTGAACTATTTCCATTGAACATTCAGGATTTTTAACAAAACAGATATCATCAAGAAGGCAATAGCTAGAGAATGAGAGGTGCCTTTAAAAAAAAAAAAATACAAATGCAGCCTTACAGTAAGGATGAGGATTGAGTTTTGAAGGGAGTGGGGAGAGTAAGAGAGAGAGAGTGAGTGAGTGAGTGTGTGTGTGTGTGTGTGTGTGTGTGTGTGTGTGTGTGTGTGAGCCAATCTTTGAAGGTCCTGATTTGTGACCATCAATGTCTTTTTAATGTATCTGCTCAACTTCTAGGACTTCAGGGGACATTTCATGTGAATTTCTAAAAATTTCAGAAGAGAAGAAAATAACTATTTAATTATAGTCAAGTTCAGGTAAAAGGATAAGTTACTGATTCACCAAAATTATGGGATCTCATTAATGTTGGCTAAGTAAATGTTAACTTTTAAAAGGTCACCTTTTTTAGTACTTCATGTATTTCCCCTTACACAAGAGCATGTCATGAAATCCTTATGTAATGAAGAGATTCAACTAGTAAAAATTATTTTTAGATTAAACACCTTAAACTAGTTAAAATTCCACCTAAGAATAGTATTTAAATGGCATCTGTCATATCTACCTCTTTGTCATTGCTGCCATTTTAACTAAAGCAAATCTTTATAACATACGAAATGATGGCTGGGTACAACTGAAAAAGCTGTGTTGGTGCTTTTCTCAGGCTTGGTCATTTAAGTTATATTGAACTAAGATGTCACAAATCAGATTGAAAGACTTAGTTTTAATTTTGGTTTTCTTTTGAAAGAACTTAAATTTTATCATTAATGTTGATAGTGAGTCTAGACAGTTGATCTCTGGTTAGTGTGTATGTCTGTGTGATGTTTTCAACCAAGAGCCAAACTGTTACTGAATTTATATATGGAGAGAGAGAGAGAGAGAGAGAGAGAGAGAGAGAGAGAGAGAGAGAGCGAGCGCGCGCGCGCGCGCGAGCTTCCTTTGTTCTTTGAAAACTATTTCAAAGCTATTAAGTACATGATCATTAATTTTATTTACTTAGCAGTTGCCTCCGTTACTGTGTTACTCATTTAATTATATCATTGCAGATCTTTAGTGTTTGACACTGGGATTCAAGTTGTACAAAAGTAGTTGCTGACAGAAATGATATGTATATTTTGTGAAATATATCAATTCCCAAAGTTGGTTTTAGGGGAAGGTCCCAAAGAACTAACAGCTGTGTTTAAAACCGGAGGACAGGTCATTAGTAAATGACTGTAGTAATGTTTACTTCTATCACTGAAGGCTTTTTAATTGGCCATATTCATTATCCAACTGAGTCTCCATATCAGTGAGAGGGACAGAAGGTTGACAAAGTATTTAACAAATTACATCTTTTTTTTTTTTAATGTTTAAAAATGCAAATATTAGACCAAACATAGATCCCTAGTCCCCATTTACTTATTCTAGCAGTATTACTGAAGTAGTGCTCAGGCCAGCATTTTCTGGACCTTTGCTAATCAAGCTTTGACTTGATTTAGTTTGACCACTTGCTTGTCATCCCTCTGATGCAAATTAGAAAGTTGACTTTAACTTAGATTAACTGTAATGTCTGCCTGGGTTTTTAACAGGCTGTGAACCAGTGAGTGCCTTGTTAATGTAGAATGTTTTTTTCCTGGTTCTATGTTAGCTCCTCTCTGAAAATGTCTCA